CTGAATCTCTCACTGAAAAGATATCATGATTTCTGATTTGCCCCGAACCCTACATTTCCCTTTGGACTACATGGGGATGACGATTTTCAAAAATTCATCAAATTTACTATCAAATTTCGACCTATTGTAATTAATGAAAAAATTGAGAAAATGTGGAGGTATCGGAAATAAAGTCAAGATGTTTTCATCAATATTATAAGTTATTTCTGACTCATAAGTTATTTCATCGCCGGTTAAGTAAATATCAATGGGGAGCTAAGGATGCCAAACTTATGGAGAGGAGTGTAAATATGTTAGATTCTAGAATTATTTTTGAATCGATATGCTTCTGAGAAAAACAAGGTCAAAAAATTATTTTTCAACTTGCTTCAAATTGACCAATTTTTATAAATTATCATCTTAGTTCTAAGAAGCTCAAATCTAACTTTAGATTTGAGATTTTACCTTTAATAATTTTCTCAAAAAGGTCTTTTTCAACTTGCTTTAAATTCACCTATTTTTAAATCATCTACAGGGCTATATTTTCCTTCATACATGCATGCATTAGCCCATATCATCACATCTTGTGGAGAAAGATCTAACATTTTTGTTGGTGCCCTAATTTATTCGCAGCCTTGAATTTTGAATAAATTACAAGACTTACAAAAACATGCCTTAAATTAGGTATTGTGCAAAACTTTACAAATGTGATGCATGGAAATTGTTGAAACATATTGGATGATCTTAAGATAAGGTTTCAATGGGGGATATGAGTTTAAACCATACCATATGGCAAATGGGACATTATTTGCGCAGAAAACACATTTCACATTTTCATTGACCATTTTGAAGCAGTTTTAACCATTCAACAGGTAATGGACAGGTTACCTACACAGAAATATATACGGATTATCATAAACATTCGTGGATTATTATAAACATTCGTGAATTATCAACTATTTATGGATTATCATCAAACATTATTGGATACGAACATTATAGGATTACTACGAACATTATTGGATTATAACAAACATTGGAGAAATAACGTTTCGTTATCACGAACATTATCAAGGATCATCAAGGATATTTACCAACATCGAGAGACAATTAGGGGTATCGCCAATTGAACTTAAGTATTACATTATATTTTATATTATTGTTATATCATTTAGTTTTTCAAAAATATAGTACTGTACATTGTTATATTTTATTTGCTGTTTTTACTTTCTGTTATTTTCGAACGTAACACGAGTGATTATTTAGTGTTAAGTTTTGTCTCTAGTGACAGCATGTTACTGATTATCCCATCAAGTGACCTAAACTACAGCAGCTAAAATAAGCATACCGAAATATTATAATTCAGTATGACTCAGAGAAGGGGATTATACAGTAAGGGATTAGCAAATTGTTTATTATCTTACAATTTAGCTCAATTCGTGAATTTGAAGATCTACTGCTATATTGTTTAATATGCATTATAATAGGATCGATTTGATGGTAAGAACTAGTATGTGATATGATCGATTTTACCTGTTTGTCATCATTGCTACGAAATACAATTATACCATTCCAATTAATGATAACTCACTGTATTACTTGGCTTGATACACATGCTGGAAGATATGCTTTTAAAATTAGTAAACCATTACCAAAACTATGGTTACCCTGTAGTTGTGAAAGGCACATTAAAAATGAATATCACCCCTTCAATCTATTTTTAAAGGTTTTTATGATTATTTTACATTTTTCTATATTTTGTGTAACCAAGACATTGAATGTTCTTCATTGTCGTCTTACCAATATTTACTATATCTGTCAATTTCAAGAAAATCGCGCCGCTATGTTTTTCCCATTGAGCTCCATTATAAAAATGGAATTTTCAAACTTAAAATTGTACGTGGTGAAAAGTTGCATATTGAGTAGTTAGTTAATGTTAAGGTGTAAAAAATTCAAAACAAAAAGGAAAAAACAATGCCACAGAGTCTCATTAGCATCTCTTAAAAAGCCAGCGATGGCATTAGTTTTGTGATGATACTGTCACTTTCATTGTTTCTTGATTTGTAGCAATAACATTGCCTTTTGCACGTTGGTAACGACACCTTATAATACATCACATATTTTAGAAGCGTATCCTCATGGAAAACGTAACATATTTTACCGTGCCATACCGTGCGCTTTTTCGATTAGTAATGCACTAGTAATCTTTCTTTAAGAAAAATAGTTGTTCCAGATTCACTATATTTTCTAGCCGAAATCGCCTGCTAACTTCTCCGTTCATTTTGTCCGATCCTCCGACGTGACCTTGAAAAACAGTCACGGTGAACCATGCCCGTAGCTGGGGGGGGGGGGGGGGGTCGGAGGGGGCCAGAAATTCTTTAAAAATCATGCAGTTTTTAGTACCATTTTGAGCACTTTTCGTATGATTTTTGCCAAAAACTGAAAAAGTTCACCGCCCCCTTGGCAAAAGCTCCCCCTTGTTAAAACCGCTCCCAAACCCCAAGGTAAATCCTGGCTACGGGCCTGTGAACGAAGAAGACGTGAGATACACTGAATACAATTGTGGTCAACGAGAACTAATAATATATGTACAGCATTGTTTATAAAACTTACGGTCGTCGGGGAAACGATGTACGAAATGTGACGTCGGTGCTCATGAAATATGACGTAATAACTCGTCAAGGCAACCGGGGATTTATTATTTTTAACAATGGGAGACAGACATAGAACAATGGAGCGATAGATACACAATGGAGTTGCCATTCCAGGTGATTTTATTCCAAGATATAAGACATGATAAGACATGCTACTTGAATTTATTCTTATGAATATGACTCCAATTCCCATTTTTCATTCTCCAGAGATATAATATCCAGTTTCTTACTAGGGTACTGAGTTAAGTTTTTTCAAATACACGAGTTCTTGTGAATTTGTTACATCGTAAAGACATATAACCCCCCCCCCCTCCATCCACTCCCCCTCCATCCAATATTAATTTATTTCGATTTTGTATAACGCATGGAAACTAACTTTAAGAAGTGAGCAATGTCATAAGTATTGTGATAATAACGTCCCTTATACCTATTTATTACAGGTCGTGTACATCTGGTCGTATTGCTGCCCGATTTATAGCAAAAACATTGACAAGGTCCATGCACGTTGGTGATGATTCGCCTTTTTAATAGATCTCATATCTAAGAAGGGTATCAGTTCAAAAAAATACTAGATGACCTAACATATTTTGCCATGCACTGCGCCTATTCATTTGGCAATTCAGTTGTAAATTTTCTCTTGAAAAAAATAAATCTTCCAATTTGTTGAGTTTTCTTGTAGAAATCGCCTAATCCCCCCTCCATCTATTTTGTACGATCACCGGGCGTGGATTCCAGACATTTTCAACAATTCTCACAGGCCGGTATCGAAAAATTTGTCCGCTGTGACGGAGCGTGCTATTTTGCATAGAAGCACTAAGAAACCCATATCATTTATTTTTTCCGTTTTCAATAGCTTTTATTCTTAACGTTGTTGGACTTCAAACAGAATAGTAAAGTTACCCGCAAACTTGTGATATATCCATTGCATGGGGTAGGTGATTTCCCTTGATATAGCGAAACATATGAGTAATAAAATAAATTGTGTGGATTTCCTAGTGTTTCTATGCAAAATAGCACGCTCCGTCACAGCGGACAAATATTTCGATACCAGCCTGTGATTCTGACTATTCACTGGCGGATCTGGGGGGGGGGGCCCGGCCCCCCCCCCCCCCCTTGGGTGGGCCCAGAAAAAAAAATTGTACCCAAATAAAATTTTGAGCCAAAAAAGGCTTTAAGGCCCCAAAAAGTAGGCCTTTTTGGTCATAAATTGGCCTTCTAAGGCCTTGTTTTTTAATTTTAGGCCAAATTTTGAAGAAAATGGGCCTCAAAATTTCAAAATTTGGGCCCACTTTTGGTTTTTTGGGGCCCAAAATTTTTTTCCGCTCAAGCGCGGAAGTTTTATTCTCAGACCAGAAGTTTAGCCCCCCCCCCCCTTGTTGGTACCCAGATCCGCCCCTGCTATTGATGAGGAAATGAGAAAGAAAGTGTATATACATGTAGGGTGGTCGAAATCCAAAAAAGTGAACCCTTGCAACAAGCTATATCTCAGTTATAACTTGCATTCATGGGCTATAATCTCACATGTTTTTTCACGAGAACGTTTACAAATAAATCGCTGACTGAATTTGTTCACGGTATGGTGAAATCTATGAATGCTTTTGCTATACATCAAGGTCCACGATCTGTAATCGTAAAGTGACGTTATCATTACATCCTTCTTCAAAGGACTTCATTTATGCTTAATACTTGTAAAATACCTTTGCAGCAAGGATGTTATCCAAAATTAATGTCATTATTCTTGGCGATAAAATAAGATTGAACGAGGGGGGGGGGGGTGAACGGATGGCGGGTGGGTAATATGTCTCAGATTTCATCATACCGTGCACCTTCATTTATGCCGACGGTAAAATTTGTCGTGAAAAAATAAATGTTGCAGATCAGTTGAATTATCAAATTTTCAAATTTTTAAGAAAATGGGCCTCAAATTTTCGCCCACTTTTCGGTTTTAGGGGCCCAAGTTTTTTCTCTGACCTCCAACTTGCCCCCCCCCCCCTGTTGGTTCTGGATCCGCCACTGCTAGTAGTTGTAAAGTTGTAGATAATTGAAAAAAGAATGGGGAAAGTTTGAACATCCTAGCTCTACTAGTAATTTTTTTACAAGGGGTGCTTTTGACCCCCTTAGGTGTCCGTGTGACTATTTTTACGCCTTAGGCGGCTTCTGGGGTCTTTTCAAAAGTTGTATATTCGCGTGATATTGACAAAGAAATTTTGCACCTTCTAGCTGATGGGATAATCGTACGATCGTGGTGTGTAAATGATCGAATTTTGATAGCTCTCACAACTTGATTGTTTGGAAGCAGAACATGTGCAGTTCCTTTCCTGGGTGCAGTTAGTGTGCTGTGCTCCCATTGACAGTAATTTGTCGTTCGCTATTTGAACGCAAGCTTCCCTGAAACATCCGGGCACTTGGATGTAACCGTTCTCCCTCCGATATGGCGCAGGCACTTTTTGATGCACTTGCCGGTAAGTAAAGTTTTGTACATTGAAACACCTAAATGAGGCGCAGAATAACAATTCAATAATTACAAAATATGGTGATGTACAGAATTGTGTAATACATATGTCATACAAGCAGTTGATCACATGATTTGGGATGTAACCTAGAATCTTGCAAAATTTCGTTGAAAGTCAAAAATCTTTCCAAATTTCTGCTTGAAATACAAATTAATCTATTGTATAGGCCTTCCAAGCATTCCATCTTTTAGTGCCAATGTCCCTTACTATGTTTTTCCTCGTTATTTCGAATTTAAAGCTGCAAATGCTACAGGATGAAATGGTAAAATATGGGGAACAGCCGGGTGTAAGATTTTTCAATGGCACAGCAATAACAAAGACGTCGATGAGTGACTGATAAAATTTCCCATTAGATGCTCATGCCATAGGATTTCTTATAGAATAACCAAAGTTGGACCGTTATTCCATATTCCATAAACACTTATAAGGAAGTGTAATGAAGAGTAGGCACTTCTTAGATATCATGAAAAGCCAACGTTGTATTATTCTCCGAGCTCATAAAGAGTCTCTGGTTTACTGAACACATCTGACTTTTGGACAGGGCTCCTCAAGAAATAGAATAGAACTTACCTTGTTCTAAGGCCGGCCACTATATCGTGGCCTTCGTCCAAAGATAAATCCCTGCATGTTTGTTACTCTGCTGGATGTGAGTCACGTTGCTGTATACGGGTCATGTCGTAATCATAAGATTTGAAATCAAATGTTCGCCATTTTCCACATCACATGATAGTTTCTCTGTCACATATTTATGTATGTCAGTTTATTATACCAAGTACTACCTTTAGCCAGATCTAAGTAATAAGGAATCTTAGGAATAAGGCATTCAAAAGGTGAAGGATGCATTTAAGAGATAGGGTGTTAACATTAAGTCTAGTGTTTATAAGGTTGCAATAAGCTAGACGGCTATGACAACAGCTTGGTAGGTAGAGTTCACGTGCACACTAGTATAAGGCCACCAGGATCACCTTGGAAGCATAGAAAAGAGGTATATTACACAATGAAAATACATGTCTAGTTGAACATGATTGAAAAACTTTGTGTATGGGAGCAGAAGCTCAAGTTCATGGATATTGTTGTTGAGATAGCAGATAGGGATGTAGTAGGAGGTACTTTGGATATGTTGTAGATTTTGGTTCCACAAATTAAAGTAATTGTTGTTATTACTTAGAGAGTTCATACAGAAAAATCTGTCTAATTCAAACGCCATTGGGAGGTGTTCAGATATATAGGTTCTACTGTAATTGTTTAATTGTCATGTATATTAGACAGTATATCAATAACCGAACTGTCAAATGTCATATTTAATCTGTAAAATTGAAGTCTTCGTTCATGTTAGAACATACATATCGGTTGTTGGACCACAGCAATTTACAAAATATGAAAATCAAATATACATCCACTCAACCTAGTATGGCTTCTGAATTTTGATATAGATATTGTCTGGTGGTTCCTGTATTTTAGAAGCAATTGAAATTTTTTGTCTTCCACTTTTGTAAAAGAAAAATATTTCATCATTTTTGATATACCATTGATCAAAATGCTTTGGATGTGAAAAAACGGTGTCCAATTGTCCAATTATAAAATATTAAACATGCACTTGAGTATACCTAAATATATTTGATTATGATGGCAGAAATGGTGGCTTGTTACAACTTTATTGACCACACATATTTTATTTAACTTTTTCCAGCGGGCAATGCAATCAGCGACACACAGACTGTTATGGCAGTACAATCTTTATTGGAGCCTCAGACTGTTACACAAGTGCTGGATGCTCCTCCTTGTAAGTTATATAATACATGTACATGTACAAGTATATATCAAACATATTGAAAATTGCTTTAACTTGGTGACTACTTAAAGGCATTCACTATTTCCTTGCAAAGTCTTAGGCGTAGATAGGGGGGGATGCGATGGGTGCAATAAAAATAAAACCATTAGATAGAAGAAAAAGAAAAGAGGTTTAAAATGCTTTATATTTGAAGATTCTAGCTAAATTTTTAAGGAAGTTGTAACAATTTTCAGCGAATTCAAAACAAATCTTATTTTTTGCGCACCCCCTGACTGAAAACCAAAACATTTTTTGGCGATGTATTTGGGTTCAACTAAAAACACATGAAGATACTCTAATGATCTTACTTTTCACTTGAACTATTAATTGTTGTTTTACAGTGGAAGATGATGACCTGTTTATGTGTGGAAAGTGCAAAGAGGAGTTTAAGTCACTTCAAACATTCATGGAGCATAAGCAACAACCATGTGTACAACGTCAACAAAAACATAACCGGATGGTACAAGCTCCACCTCCACCCCCCTCAGCTTCACAATCACAGAATATTGGACCACCAGGCACTGGGTTCACTTCAGTTGTTCCTCAAATCATGGACGTTAGATCCGTAAGTAGAGTTGATACCACCATTAAATCCATTTTCTAGATGAATTGTTAAAAATGAGTATAGTATTGAGAAAATGTATTGTTTGGTAGATTTTGATCAGATCTCCAAGTTTATTTCTAGTTGGGAATCTGCTCTCTGTAGTTTCTTTTCTTGGATAGAATTAAAGTATGAAACCCCATTTGTGAGATCATGCATCACTGGTTTACAGCAGGATGGAACTTACTAGCATTTCAATTCAGTTTATTTCTTCATTTGATACAATATTATTAGATTATTAATGTAAATTGTTAAATGGAGCATAACTATTACATCAAGCTGGATGATATACTATCAGTTATCACACGTTTCAGCATGTGATACAGGAAATATTCCACGAAAGGTAATACTGTATCATCCACGAAAGCGAAGCTTGAGTGGTGATACATTGTTACCCGAGTGGAATATTTCCTGTATCACATAAGCTGAAACGTGTGATGACGATTTTATCACATGTCTAGGAATTTTGAAGCATTTTGATTTGGTCAGTTATGTTTGTGTTCAGTACTTCTGGTAACTACTATAATTTTTGATTTCGCTTTGAAACAATATGACGTCATACCGTTGTATTCGTACTTGTTTGTGAAATAGTAAGACGTCATATTGTTTTCCTTAGCTAGAAGTGATATAATCAGTGACGTCACATCGTTGCTATTGATCATCACTGGTTGCCTCTAGTAACGTGTGAGACGGCCGTGTGAGACGGGAAAACTCACACGGTAATCAACCAATCAGATTACTGGAATTTTACAGAGCATGTGATAAATGTATGTATAGACTCCTATCAATTGAAAATGATGCATCTGCCTTGAGTTTTTATAACTCTCTTGAATACTATACATCTAAGAAGTTACATTATGTTACAATTTCTTGTTTGGGAACCCCTGTTATGTAATACCAAATATGACACTTCTTTCCAGGTACAGTACAATCAAGTGTCTCAACAATCTCCTATGTCTCAGATGCAGCAGAATATGGTATTGTCTGATGACCTTATGACATTTAATATTGACCAGAATTACCAAGTTAGCAATGTGCAGACACTACAGGTAGGTGAATGGTTCTTTACAAAGAGTCACGCACAACTGGATTTCAATCTCCATCCAGAAGATCAGTCATTCATTGCTCCTTGTTATTAATCTGAACTTTTTCAATCCCAATAATGCACCTTTTTAAATTTTTCTGCCCCAATACTTAACTCCTGTGTTGCTTTTTATTACACATATCAGTCTGGGGAAGTCGCAGATATGTTGCTTCTTGTTACACTCTACACATTACCTTGGGAAGTCCCACATATATTGCCTCTACACATACCTTAGGGAAGTCCCACATATATTGCCTCTACACATACCTTTGGGAAGTCCCACATATATTGCCTCTACACATACCTTTGGGAAGTCCCACATATATTGCCTCTACACATACCTTTGGGAAGTCCCACATGAATTGCATCTACACATACCTTTGGGAAGTCCCACATATATTGCCTCTACACATACCTTTGGGAAGTCTCACATATATTGCCTCTACACATACCCTTGGGAAGTCCCACATATATTGCCTCTACACATACCTTTGGGAAGTCCCACATATATTGCCTCTACACATACCCTTGGGAAGTCCCATATATATTGCCTCTACACATACCCTTGGGAAGTCCCACATATATTGCCTCTACACATACCTTTGGGAAGTCCCACATATATTGCCTCTACACATACCCTTGGGAAGTCCCACATATATTGCCTCTACACATAACCTTGGGAAGTCCTACATATATTGCCTCTACACATACCCTTGGGAAGTCCCATATATATTGCATCTACACATACCTTCGGGAATACATACCCTTGGAAAGTCCCATATATATTGCCTCTACACATGTTTTTGGGAAGTCCCACATATATTGCCTCTATTAGCTCTACATATACCCTGGGGAATTCTCATTTATATTGCCTCTACATATACCATTAGGAAAATTCTCATTTATATTGCCTCTACATATACCATTAGGTATTCTCATTTATATTGCCTCTACATATACCATTAGGAATTCTCATTTATATTGCCTCTACATATACCATTAGGAATTCTCATTTATATTGCCTCTACATATACCATTAGGAATTCTCATTTATATTGCCTCTACATATACCATTAGGAATTCTCATTTATTTGCCTCTACATATACCATTAGGAATTCTCATTTATTTTGCCTCTACATATACCATTAGGAATTCTCATTTATATTGCCTCTACTTATACCATTAGGAATTCTCATTTATATTGCCTCTACATATACCATTAGGAATTCTCATTTATTTTGCCTCTACATATACCATTAGGAATTCTCATTTATATTGCCTCTACATATACCATTAGGAATTCTCATTTATTTGCCTCTACATATACCATTAGGAATTCTCATTTATATTGCCTCTACATATACCATTAGGAATTCTCATTTATATTGCCTCTACATATACCATTAGGAATTCTCATTTATATTGCCTCTACATATACCATTAGGAATTCTCATTTATATTGCCTCTACATATACCATTAGGAATTCTCATTTATATTGCCTCTACATATACCATTAGGAATTCTCATTTATTTGCCTCTACATATACCATTAGGAATTCTCATTTATTTTGCCTCTACATATACCATTAGGAATTCTCATTTATATTGCCTCTACTTATACCATTAGGAATTCTCATTTATATTGCCTCTACATATACCATTAGGAATTCTCATTTATTTTGCCTCTACATATACCATTAGGAATTCTCATTTATATTGCCTCTACATATACCATTAGGAATTCTCATTTATTTGCCTCTACATATACCATTAGGAATTCTCATTTATATTGCCTCTACATATACCATTAGGAATTCTCATTTATATTGCCTCTACATATACCATTAGGAATTCTCATTTATATTGCCTCTACATATACCATTAGGAATTCTCATTTATTTTGCCTCTACATATACCATTGGGAATTCTCATTTATATTGCCTCTACATATACCATTAGGAATTCTCATTTATTTTGCCTCTACATATACCATTAGGAATTCTCATTTATATTGCCTCTACATATACCATTAGGAATTCTCATATATATTGCCTCTTCGCATACCCTGGAAAATTGCCATATATATATATTTCAAGGCATCTCTTTTGCAGGGTACATCTATCCAGAGCAATCCATTCTTGTCTCAAATCAGTCCCTTGACCTCACGTAGCAGTCTCAACAATAGCTCAATGTACAGTGCAGCTAATGCACCAGGCTACTCTGGACCTAATTCTACATTCACAAACACTGTACAGGTAAAGTACATATAACATAAAATTAGTTGTGAGCTCATGTGGTTCCATTTTACTCGATCACTGTAGATTTGATTGAGCAAATTAATTTTTCACTTTATTCACCTTTACTCTAAGAGCGAGGAGGAAAATTCTTAATAAATGGAGTATAGTTGGTTTGGCAGCATTTTCAGTTAGGGGGAAGTCTTGGATGAAAATTCTACCTAGGTGATAGCTTCACAGAGTGGTACATAATTCTTTTTTTTCAGGGATTAGCCCCCCACCCCCCAAAATAACCCCACCCCGGTAAAATAATTTTTTCATTCTCAATAACTTTAGATATCTTGATGTTTGTAAGTTACATACATAGACATTATATATATGAATCATTTGAAAAATAAATAATGCCAATCACTCCTACAGATTTTGAATAATAGTATAAAGTGTGTACCCCAGGGGGCAAATTCGTGACCCATTTTCTTACTATTTAGAGCCTCACTTTTCAATCAGACACTGGAAGACATTGGAAAAATTCACCTAAAGTGCCCAGAAGCAGTCCTATAAGCCCTGAAAGGTTCAAATTAATTGAATCAGTATGAGCCGAGAAAAAAATTGTTGATTTTTTGAAAAATTTGACATTTTTGAGAGGCGTGATTTTGTGTATGACTATAGCTGAGGCCTATGGTTTCTAGATCTATCCCTCTTTGATAATAAATATGGTTTTGAAGTATGGAACTAAGATGTAAAAAATAATTAAAATGGGTTTTAAGGAAGTTAAAAGTTTTAAACAAGTTCAAAATTCGAAGAATTGTACAATATCAGGTCTGAATTTACGAATTTTAGGTATGACCTTGGATGAGCCTTAGATTTTTTACATGTGTCCCCTTTTGATGATATTTATGGTTTTGTAGTATAGAACTAAGATGTACAAAATAATTTAGATGGTTTTTAAGGTGGTTTAAGGATTTTAACAAATCCAAAATTTGAAGAATTGTACAATATAAGGTCTGAATTTATGAATTTCAGGTAAGACCTTGGATGAGCCTTATATTTTTTACATCTGTCCCTCTTTGATGATATGTATGGTTTTGTAGTGTGAAACTAATGAGTAAAAATAATTTAGATGGATTTGAAAGTTTAAGGATTTTAAATGAGTCCAAAATTTGAAGAATTGTACAATATCAGGTCTGAATTTATGAATTTCCGGCATGACCTTGGACGAGCCTTACATTTTTTACATCCTTCCCTCTTTGATGATATTCATGGTTTTATAATGTAGAACTAAGATGTAAAATATAATGTAGATGAATTTTAAGAAGGTTTAAGGATCTTAATGAGTTCAAAATTTGAAGAATTGTACAATATCAGGTCTGAATTTACGAATTTCAGGTAAGACCTTGGATGGGCCTTATATTTTTACATCCGTCACTCTTTGATGATATGTATTGTTTTATAGTGTGGATCTAAGATGCAAAAATGATTAAGATGGTTTTGAAGAGTGTTTAAGGATTTATAATGTAGAACTAAGATGTAAAATATAATGTAGATGAATTTTAAGAAGGTTTAAGGATCTTAATGAGTCCAAAATTTGAAGAATTGTATAATATCAGATCTGTATTTTTGAATTTCATGTATGACCATGGACGGCCCTTTTGTTTTTTACATCTATATTTTACATCTATATCCCCCTTTGATCATATTCCTGGTTTTATAGTATGGAACTAAGATGTAAAATATAATTTAGATGAATTTTGAGAAGGTTTTAGGATTCCAACAAGTTTTGAAGAATTGTACAATATCAGGTCTGAATTTGCAAATTTTAGGTAAGACCTTGGATGGGCCTTATATTCTCTACATCTGTCCCTCTTTGATGATATGTATGGTTTTGTAGTGTGGAACTATGATGTAAAAAATGATTTAGATGCATTTTAAGAGGGTTTAAGGATTTAAACAATTTGAAGAATTTTGTACAATATCAAGTCTGCAATTAACAAATTTCAAGTATAACCTTGGTTGGCCCATATGTTTTTAAACCTATCCCCTTTTCATGATATATTTGGTTTAGCAGTGTGGAAATATGTAAAACATAATTTAGATAGGTTTTAAAGAAGCTTGAAGTTTTAAACAAGTTCAAAATCTTGGCCTATTGTACAATATCAGAAATTAACGAATTTAAAGTATAATCTTGCTTGGCCCTTATATTTTTAACATCTATCCCTTTTTGATGATATATGTTTATATTGTTTAGTAGTGTGGAGCTAATATGTAAAACATAATTAAGATGGGTTTTAAAGAAGTTTAAGGATTTCAACAAGTTCAAATTTTTACGAATTGTACAATATCAGAGCTGATATTAATGAATTTTTGGTGTTACCTTGGACAAGCCTTATGTTTTTTTACACCTATCCCTTTTTGATGGCATATATGGTTTAGTAGTGTTGAAGTAAGATATTAAACATAAGTTAGACAGGTTTTAAACAAGTTAAAAATATGAAGAATTGTACAATAACAGGTCTGGAATTTATTAATTTTAGGTATAACTGTGGATGGCCCTTATTCGTTTTTTACATCTATCTCTCAATGATTATACAATATATGGTTGGTAATATACAGTATAGTAGTATGGAACTATGAGGTAAAACATAATTTAGATGGGTTTTGAGAAGGTTTAAGGTTTTAAAGCTGTTCAAAACTTGACAAATTGTACAATATCATATCTGACATTAACGAATTTTAGGTATATATCTCTCTATGATGATATATATGGTTTAGTAGTATGGAACTAAGATGTAAAACATAATTTAGATCGATCGGTTTTAAGGAAGTTAAAAGGCAGAATCAGATCTATAGGGGTGATAAAATTACAAGCAACATGTACAATTCACCTACCAATCTATTCCTTACAATCTAAAATACAATATCTTTAAAAAGATTCATGATGTGTTAAAAACTGATGAAGTTATAATGGATTCAAAGTGCAAAAATGGGGGAAAAGTGTTTAAATACTCCCAAAATAATAAGAATGGTAACCATTCTTATGGAAAAATAATACATTATTGTAGAAATCTTTAGTTTTCCTACACTAAATTGTGCACTTTGGGGATTTTTAGCAAATAGACATGAAAAAGAATGACATAAGCCAGAAATATTCAAAAATTTAAACAATTTTTTGTTTGGCTGCTTGCTGGATCTGATTCTCTCTTTAAGGTTTTCAAGAAGTTCAAAACAAAACAAATTGTACAATATTAGGTCTGAAATTATTAACCTCTTTGATGATTTACATGGTTTTGTAGTGTGGAACTAAAATGTAAAACAAAATTTAGGAATTTGGGGTTTTAAGGAGGTTTATATTTATTACTTATTGCTTAAAGATTATCTAGAAATTATCATCATTTTGCATTTTTTATAGTATTAAAAACAAGGTAACCATCAATACGATCGTTATTTCATTAATTTCATTTTTATTGGGATCAACTTCGGACTATCATAACTTTGCACCTCTACCCCCAATCACCTTGATCTTTACACCAAAAGGTGTCATTTATCTGTGGCTCAAGCTAAAAATAATAATGATGGCACAAGGAAAACTTGCAAAAAGTACCATTTAAAAAACAGAGGGGTAGGTCAATTTGACCCCCCCCCTCCCCTGCAGACATTAGGGTTAAACTTCCTTAAAACCCAAAATTCCTAAATTATGTTTTACATTTTAGTCCCACACTACAGAACCATGTAAATCATCAAAGAGGTTTAGAATGTAAAGAGCATGAGGATCATTCAAATCTATACCTGAAATTTGTTAATTTCAGACCTAATATTGTACAATTTGTCAAGTTTTGAACCTCTTTAGAACCTAAAACTTCCTTAAAACCCATCTAAATTATGATTTACACTTTAGTTCCATACTACAAAACAATATATGTTATCATAGAGAGATATGTAAAAAAACATAAGGCTCATCTAAGGCTATACCCGAAATTTGATTATTTCATGTCTCATATTGTATAATTTGTCAAGTTTTTAACTTGTTTAAAACCTTAAACCTCCTTAAAACCCATTTTAATTATGTTTTACCTTTTAGTTCCACACTGTTATACCATATATATATCATCAAAAAGGGATGTTAAAAACATAAGGGCCAACAAAGGTTATACTTGAAATATGTTAATTTCAGATCTGATATTGTACAATTCGCCAAGATTTTGAACTTGTTTAAAACATTTAGTTTTTTTAAAACCCATCCAAATTATGTTATACATATTATTTCAACACTACTAAACCAAATATATCATGAAAAAGGGATAGGTGTAAAAAATATGAGAACCAACCAAGGTTATACTTGAAATGTGTTAATTGCAGACCTAATATTGTACAATTTTTCAAATTTTGAACTTGTGAAAATCCTAAAACCTCCTTAAAATCCATCTTAATTGTATTTTACATCCTAGTTCCACACTACAAAACAATACATATCATCAAAGAGGGACTGATGTAAAAAATATAAGGCTTACCCAAGGTCTTACCTGAAATTCAAAAATTCAGACCTGATATAGTACAATTCTTCAAATTTTGACTTGTTAAAATCCTTAAACCTTCTTAAAATCCATCTAAATTATATTTTACAGCTTAGTTTGTTACTAAAAAACCATAAATATCATCAAAGAGGGACAGATATAAAAAACATAAGGGTCATCCAAGGTCATACCTGAAATTTGTAAATTCGGACCTGATATTATACAATTCTTCAAATTTTGGACTTATTTAAAACTTTAAACTTCCTTAATACCCATTTTAATTATTTTTTACATCTTAGTTCTACACTTTAAAACCATATTTAACATCAAAGAGGGATGGATCTAGAAACTATAAGCTTCAGCTATAGTCATACACAAAATCACCCATCTTGAAAATGTCAAAATTTTCAAAAAATCAACAATTTTTTTCTAAGCTCCTACTGATTCAATTAGTTTGAACCTTTCAGGGCTCATAGGCCTCCTACTAGGCACTTCACATGAATTTTTCCAATGTCTTCCAGTGTACATGTCTAATTGAAAAGTGAGGCTCTAAATAGTAAGAAAATGGGTCACGAATTTGCCCCCTAGGGTACACACTTTGTACTATTATTCAAATTCTGTAGGAGTGATTGGCATTATTTATTTTTCAAATGATTCATATATATAATGTCTATGTATGTAATTTACAAACATCAAGATATCTAAAGTTATTGAGAATGAAAAAATTATTTTACCGGGGTGGGGTGTTTTTGGGGGGTGGGGGGCTAACCCCTGAAAAAAAAGAATTATGTACCACTCTGTGAAGCTATCACCTAGGTAGATTTTTCATCCAAGACTTCCCCCTAACTGAAAATGCTGCCAAACCAACTATACTCCATTTATTAAGAATTTTCCTCCTCGCTCTTAGAGTACTTTCCACAAAGTAAAGAAAATTGATAATTTCCTGCACGCTGATTGACTGTATGTAAATTAGTTAAATCAATGACGTCAATGACTGAAAGATTTGAAGAATTAGTATAGGATTATATTTGCCCAATGTCCTATTAAATGGTTTTTATGTCGCAGTAAGAAGTTCCATCAGAAATTCACCATGAGTGACATTTGCACAAACTAAAGCAATCAAAATGAAACACGAAAAACAAATTTTACCGATATTTTGTTATTGATGATCCCATCTCCACAGTAGACATTAACAGAAAATGTTTACAAATGTTATATGATAACTAAACCATGGGCTTTCAAGATCATATATAATTTCAACAGGTCATTCCTCAAATGACACTGAAGATTAACTTAAAATAAATTGTCCAACTATATATTTTTTAGACATGTTATAATGGTGAACTTAATGATTATGATAATTTTACCTGTTCATATCCAGTTTCCCTCTATGATTGATTCCCGGATTGATTACTGAATGGGAGTGATTCTGATTTACTCATTATAAACAAAACTTTAATATTCAAATCGCTTAGAAGGCGTAAATATATGCCAATTTAACGTTCAACAAAACTTTGTCAATTATTGACTGATAACATGCTCATTTGAAGCGGTAAAACTCACAGAAATCAACCGAAGATTTACATGTAAACTCAATGAATTGCATTTGTTTTATTCTAAAACAGTGGTTAACTTCTTATTGTCTCATGCTCATCATAAAAATGACTTGAAAAATCACTTGTTAGATTCCAACAAAACCTCATGACATTGCATTTTACGAAATCATATACATTAAATCATCTGTTGCACAAAGGAACAATCTATCCCTTCAGTACGATTTCATTGTATGAAATGTTATTCTGGAGTATCAGACTTACAAGGTAAAATGCTGTACTTCTTGGAAATTACATGGAGGCAGTAAATGTGACTTGAATTCCCCCTAAATTGAGCAGTACAGAGAACCCCTAAGTAAAGCCTCTTTTGAAGAAATGTTCATCCAAAAATATTGGTATGTGACTTCAAATTGTTTCTGTTTCAGTCAAACCCTGTTCCAATGCAAAATGTCCAGTTGAAGTTTCTCTCTCAGCAGGGCCAGCAGCAAAACCAAGTGACTCAGAATCAGCAGGTGACTGATGTTCAGATTCACAATGTGTCAGAGAGTGAAATGCAGCACATTCCATCATCCAGTGGACAGACACAGAGTGGGAAAAGCATTCAGCAACAGAGGGTTAACAATGTCAGAGGTATGATTATTATTTTCTAGTTTTCTACCATTTGTAACATTAGAATGATTATCTTATAATGATCAGCAATTGATAACTTGCAATTGTGAAGATTTCGAAACAAAACTTTTTTTCTTGAATATTATCAAGGCTTGAAAAACTCCTTGTCTGGTTAATCAAACTCGCCTGGCCTAGTTATCTATTCCCTGATTCTGAAATGTCGTAGATAATGGGCCAGACGAGCTGCAATGGAAAAATTGGGGTATTTACTCCACAGAAAACACACTGCTTTTCCAAAGTGTAATAACCGCTGATATCTGAATAAACATTATAAAATATACTTACATGTTTGTTCCTAGTATTAATTTTTGTATTTCTAGTAGGTTTCCATCATTGGATGGCTGCTAATTAATAAGAACGAAGCGATTGAGAGTAGCAAAAAGAAAAATTCTTCTGCAATCTGTGCGTGATCTTGTAGAATAACGAGAAGTCTCATCTGCTTATTTTTTCAGTACAACATTCGTTCAGTACAACAAATTGAAAATCCTTTATTATATCCACCATATTTGTTTCCAGTCTAACTACGACATGGATATGTCAGTTTTATAAAGTAATTAACGTAATGATGACAAACCTTCTGAACAAATCATAATATTTGGAATGTATTGATTCCCGGGAAATGTATCTTCGTTCCATGAAAGATTAAAAAATTTCGCGTCACACTCATGTTCCGTCACATCAATTGACATTATTAGGCGAGACCTGACTAAATTGACGAAATGTTGGGCACATTTCAGCATCAATATAACAAACAAAACACCACATTTTCGTGTAAGTAATGTACTCTTTATTACAAAGAAGTACTTGTGTTTACATGGACCCCAATATTTTGGTTGGACAGCTAATTGGAAAGGAATAACAAGTGCTGATTCAACAGTGTGTTTTCTTGGGAGAAAATCCCTCCTTTATTTCACTGGACCTCGTCTGTCCCAGATCTACGAAGTCGCGAGTAGATAACTGGGTCAGACGAGTTTGTTTATGATCCTTTAAAAGCAATGCATTTGTATTCAGCAAAGAAGCAAAGCAACCTAGTGAACAACATGACAGACGTTGATCCTGGAAGTATCAAAGGAAGACGTGGCAAGATGAATACACAGCCTGATATTGAGGACAATGCAGGTCTCAAGAAAAGACTGAAATGTCAGTATTGCGATAAGATGTTTTCCAAGAACTTTGATTTACAACAACATGTACGCTCTCACACGGGAGAGAAGCCTTTTCAGTGTATCGTGTGTGGAAGAGCTTTTGCACAAAAGTCCAATGTCAAGAAACATATGTCTACTCATAAAGTAAGTGAACATTGTAACACTGGTTTATTCTGTCATCTTGATTTGAATTTTTTCTTTGTATTTGGTAAACCTATGTTTATATATCACATAATTTGACAATTATCCCACAAAGTTTGAAGGGGCTGTAGAGAAGCCGACGTCTGTCCATCCATTTTTCCGTCTGTCTGGGTGATAACTCAGATAACGGTTGATGGATTTGATTCTGCTCAAGAATGAATTTTCAATATGGCCACTCATTTCAAAATGGCTGCCATTTTTCGTATGAAATGTATATCTGATAACTCAAATACAGTACTATTTCACAGATTTGGTTCAAATTTTATATGCTCATACCTAAGGACAGTGGACAGATTTGATTCAAAGGATCTAGTGCATTCTCCATTATGATTTCCCCATGAACAAAACGAATCATTTTTAGGTGTAACATAAAGAATACAATTTCACATAATACTTTGGAAAATATTTAAGCATTTGGAAACACATGTGCTGAGGTTGAGGTCATTAAGTTCAGCAAGTGTGTATTGACTTGACATTGGATGTCCTCCATTGACTTAACATGTGGATATCATCAGATTCCAATGGAGGCCATTAGTTTCTATTGATTTTCACAAAAATAACTAAAATACACTATGACCTGAATCGATTGCAAATTAAACAATTTCACAAGATGACACAAATGGTATAATCACATCAGATGTGCAAATATGAAGTTTGCAATCGATTCAGGTCATACTTCAAATTAAAAGATTGTACATTTTTCATCATTTTTTCTTACAAAATGGCTATAGAAAAATGCTTCATAAGCAACTTTTACACTTATGAAATGCCAGCCATACTTTGTAAATCAAAAGATTATACTATTATATTTCATTATTTAATAACATATTTGGATAAGATGTAGGGATGTGTAGGATGCAAATGGATTTTGACAGACACAAAAATACTTCCTGGTTTGTATCTATGCCTCTACACTTGATGATTGAATTATGACCCTAATAAGTGGCCCATACATCAATACAGTGCTCAATATAGGTCAACAAGATACTAGTGAGCATATAAAATGTCATAATAAAAGCAGTATACTCATTTTGAAAAATCAGATGAACAATTTTTTTTTCATGGGGAGATCATAATGGAGAGCGCACTACTTCCTTTTATGCCTCAGGAAACAGAAGCTCAATATACCTACTATCTAGATGAGATAAAAATTGTGTAATCTATCAGTAAATAGCATTCATTAATTTTCTATACTATCAATGGCTTTACTAATGCATCAACACGGCATGAATTATTGATCTATAGTTGTGGAAGGGATTTACTATGGTTACTGACTTTGGAGTTAATGCTTTTTAGGTGTGGCCTACGGGGACAAACAATACATTACCCAAGCAACCAGAGGCAATAGTCATAACAGGGAACAGGAGCATTGATAATGATGATGAAAGACCAAATACCTATTTAATTAAAAATTCCATCTCAGGAGGCACTTCAAGTGAGACAGCATCAGCATCCCTTGGGGTATGTGCAATGTTTTATACTACAGTTTCTCTTGTGTCTGTAAAGTCATGAAGTTTTTGCAAAACAAAATTTATTAAGCAGCAACTTAATGTGCTGATGCCTCATGGGCTCAAGATGGAATTCCCAAGTTGGATGCTGAATTCAAAATGGCCACTATTTTTGCAGAACAATCATGTTTTCAGTTCTTTTGGTCATAACTCTTGAGGTATCCCATCAATTTGCTGAAATTTTTACTGGTGTCTTATTTTAAACTACAGTAAGCAATATTGTTCAGAAGTTTTAGCAATTTTCAAAATAGCTTCCACTGTTATATTGTTGAAATATTGCTTTTGTGTTATAAATCCAGAAGTATTGCATCAAAATGGCCACTACTTGATTGTCAAAAAATCACCACTTTGGCACTTTTAACCAAGTTTAAAAGTATTTTATTATTTTACCTGAGATTGAATAGGTGCCTAAATTACATTTAGAAGTTTGAGTGAAATATCCTGCACTGTAGAAATTTAACATGGCGAACACTTATTTACTGTTGAAAATCAATTTTTGGCCATTAATGTTCAAGTTGATTCCCTTGAAATTTTACTCTAGTTTAGCTTTTAGGTAACCAATATGGTTGTAAATATCTATCAAATTTCATAATGGCCACCACTTACAGTGGTTGAAATATCACATTTCGGCAATAATATAAGATTTCTATAAAGATTTCTTGAAAAACTTGTGGCATCTTTTATTGAAAAACATCACCATGGGAGAAAAGTGCACATGGAACAATTTAATGCATTGGAAAAATCAAAGATTGATTCTCATAAATTTTGAGATAGCTCCTAGTTCAGGTCATGTCTTTTGATTACATATAATAAGTGTTGATATCCAAAAAAGATTTGTAAGATTCACTTGACATATTTGTTTTCCAGACATCAGTGATATCTAGTGAGGAAACATTGGAGATCATGATTGACAATGACTATCTCTGTCAATACTGCCCTGCCAAATTCAAGACATACTTCCAGCTCAAGACTCACATGGTTGTCCATAAATCAGAACAGGTAAGATCATCATTCAGGAAAATGGAAGAAAGGAATGAACCTCAGTTAGATTGAAAGATATTTCACATAAATCTAGCCTACACTAGGCATGCATTAACATTGCAACCAATTGAAATAGAGTTGATATTGATAAATTTATTATTTGCAAGATGACCTGGTTCCAGGTAATGTCAGTTCTTGGTTGATTGGGTTGTCAATTCTTTATCACAATTGACTGTTCTCATAAAATATTTTACAAAAAAGTTAATGATGTTGTTATACTTTATATTATATGACCTTGACATAGGACCTTCTAGACCTTGGACATTAAAATATCAAAAAAAAATTTGACCTTGACTCTTTGTATTACCTTGAACTCTGAAAATGATCCTGACTTTAGATGACCTTGATATTGTGTAGATTTTGTCAGGATTCCTGATAATGAATTGGTAAATGGACCTTTAACCCTTCACTGGTTAGGCAATAGAGATTTATGAAGTTATGACAAAATAGTAACTTTAACCAGCTCCAATGCTCCTCTATGGGGGCGGGGAGATAGAGTCACACTATCTTTGCTATTAAAAACATGCCTTAATCAATTTTATACCAATGTTTAATATTATTAAAAGCTGTGACTTTTGACTTGTGACTCCAACTTTAATAAAGATTTGTTTGGAATTTTTTTTGGTCTCTTCCAGGTTTATAAATGTATCCTTAAATCATGTGGAGAGACATTTCAAGATTTGGACTCATTTCTGGAGCACACCAAGATGCACGAGGATCATATGGAATATAGATGTCACATGTGCAGCAAAGTCTTTCCATCTCTCTATGAACTAGGGGTTCACCAGTATTCACACAGCCTCTATCCCAATCAAGGGCCGAAACCTGTACCCAAGTAAGTTAATGTAATTTGCGAAACTCTGTGATAATAAAGGAACTAAAGAAGCTCGAAGCTAATTATCCCAACGAACGAAGTTCGGTAGGGATATAGTGAAGCCCTCCGTCCGTCCGTCAGTCCGTCAGTCTGTCAGTCCGTCAGTCAGTCAGTCCGTCCGTCCGTCCGGAAGATAACTCAAATATTAGTTGACGGATTTTCTTCATATTTTTCAAGATGGCCGCCGCTTTAAAAATGACGGGACTTTTTCGTAAAAATCATAAATTTTTCATTCTAAACCAAAGTGATTAATATTATTGTTTGAAAATTTGGTAGTATATTTGCAACATCTATCTATTTCACATATATTCCGTGTTTTTCATCCTGACCCCCAGGGGCGGTGTATGGGGGTCAGGAAAACAAAAATTTTCGCTAATTTTTAGATCTTTCTGAAGTATAGCTTTATTATACTCAAATGAAAGGCAATTAAGAGTAGATTGCAAATATTTATCTTTTTTCTGATTCGAGCCTCGTAAAATTCAAAATGGCCGTCTAATGTACGATTTCGCAATAATTTTTCGATCCCTTCAAAGTATGGCTGTATAATACTCAAATTGAAGGAATTTTAGAGTAGATCACAATTATGGTATTATTTGTCAGATTTGTACCTCAGAAAATTCAAAATGGATTTTTTCAAGATGGCCACAGCTTTAAAAATGACGGGACTTTTTCGCAAAAATCATAAATTTTTCTTTCTAAACCAAAGTAATTAATATTATTGTTTGAAATTTTGGTATTGTATTCGCAACATCTATGTTTTTCACATATATTCCATGTTTTTCATCCTGACCCCCAGGGGCCCGTGTATGGGGGTCAGGAAAACAGAAATTTTTAGATCTTTCTGAAGTATAGCTTTATTATACTCAAATGAAAGGCAATTAAGAGTAGATTGCAAATATTGTATCTTTTTTCTGATTCGAGCCTTGTAAAATTCAAAATGGCCGTCTAATGTACGATTTCGCAATAACTTTTCGATCCCTTCAACGGATGGCTATATATTACTCAAATTGAAGGAATTTTGGAGAAGATCACAATACACTGTATTATTTTTCAGATTTGTACCTCAGAAAATTCAAAATGGCTGCTTTGCAGGAATTCGCAATTCTAAAATCTAAATTTTTCAATTTTAACCGAAGTAATGAGTATAATTGATTGGAATTCGGTAATTGATATTTTGTTCGTTGGGATTTGCTACTCCGCGGAGTTGCCATTATCTAGTTAAATTAACCCTCATGTCCTCAAAATTGTACAACTAACTTAAAATGTTTAATAGTACACGCTTTTCACAATCACATGTTACATATCATTCTGCTCAACGAAGTTCGAGTAGGAATATAGAGAATCCATCCTCCCATTCATCTATCTCTTTGCCTGTCTGAGTAATAAATCAAAAACCTATCACCAGATTTGGTTCAAATTTTAGAGGCTCGTGTCTTACAAGTATAGCTCAAGGACGAACTTTCAATATATCAGTCCTACAGCTCAGTGATAGAGCACTCGCCCAGAAAACCAGGGTTCTTGGGTTCGATCTCAACGGGGGTTGACTGACTTTTTCACATCAGCCCTTTGCCATGGCCTTAGCACAGGATTTCAATCTGTGTTTTTGTTTTATGTCTAGCTATGTCTGCTCAAATCAAAATGGCCACTGTTAAGTCTTGTTTCCAGGTTTTTCAGGGATGATCCTCTGTATGAAAATCTCGGTTATAACTTTTCATGGATCAATCTTAAATTTTAGAGATGTTTCTTGGTATAAATGTCTGTTACTGCTTATATTATTAGTCCTTGAGTATTTTGGGTAATTTCTAGTATGCCATTTTGTACAAATCATTAAGACAAACTGGTTTGCAATGTTTTGTCTACATGGTTCCAGCCAAACGATTTGATGGATCATTTTGTAACTTCCAGGGGTGGTTCTTGATGTGAACGTCTTCAACTGATATGCTTTTGAGCATGCTGAATAAATCCTTTGGTGGCCATTTTGTCCTAAAACTTTGTCTCTTCAACTGCTTAGTGTTGGGCATTCAGAATGAAATGACATGTTGTATATGTTTGTGTCCTTGTCTGATTGTTTCCTGTGCATTAATGTCCTCTTATTAACGTCTTCTTATTCTAGATACTTCAAATGCATTAAATGTCAGAATAAGTATGCCACTCCAGAGGCCCTGGAGCACCACATCAACACAACCAACCACAAATATGCATGCCCCCACTGTCAGAAACAGTTCACCTGTGAGAGGTACCTGAGGAGACATCTATTGACACATGGACAAAGTAAGCTACCCATCAATTGATTTCCTTAAGGTCATTATTGCTACCAGTGTAGTCACTGAGTTATTACAGTGTATTAAGGGAAAAATAAGTCTTGCTAGTCAAGACCTGGTATGTGTAAAATGTGACTGCTCAGTTATTAAAACTACAGCTTATTTAACTTAGTTTAATGACATCATTTTAGGATGTGCATGTTTAACTTAGTTTAATGACATCATTTTAGGATGTGCATGTTTAACTTAGTTTTATGACATCATTTTAGGATGTGCATGTTTAACTTAGTTTTATGACATCATTTTAGGATGTGCATGTTTAACTTAGTTTTATGACATCATTTTAGGATGTGCATGTTTAACTTAGTATAACATAAAAATATAAAATTTTTCGAAATCTCCCTTGCAATTGACCCTTGGGGAAGCCATTAATGACTACATTGATTCTAATCATTTTTTGTTTCAAAATAAAAGCTAGATAATGGTTACTTCATTGAGAAGCAAGTCATATTGAACAAAATATGATTTTCAGAGAATGTGTTATATGTCAAACAGAAACTGGATATTTTTACTTTACCTTATCTTGTCTTCAGGTGATCACAAATGTCCTACATGCAAGAAGCTTTTCAAGACTGAACATTATTTGAAGATGCATTTGTTAATCCACACTGGTGAGAAACCATTCAAATGTGAGGTGCAAGGATGCACATCTTCTTTCAATCGTAAAGACAAGTTGAAGCGCCACATGCTCATACATGACAACAACAAGAGGTTTAAGTGTCCATTCAGAAATCATACAGGTTAGTGGCTATTCAGAAATATGCAGAAATAGAGGCTGGGAGTTTATTGTGCTACCTACATGGGAAATGGATTACTTTATTTTGGTTCATTGTAGTGTTATCCCTCACAAGTCAGCAACACTGTATTAGTTTAATAACTTCATAAATCATAATAACATATTTGACAAAGTCAACAACTGCTTACATAGCTAAATTAAAAGTAATACTTACCAAGACTGACTCTCCAAAAAGCTCTGAATAACACTGAGATGGTCTGCTTCCTTCTATCTTTGTACAACAATCACTCCATACACAAACTTAACTCCAGAAGCTGTTTTTCTAGTTAAACATTGCTATTACAGTGTTTTGCCCCATTTGTGTTTCAGGCTGTATGAAGGAGTTCAACAGGCCAGACAAACTGAAGGCACATATTATATCACACAGTGGACTGAAACCATTCAAGTGTAAGACTTGCAACAAGAGATTTACCAGGAAACCTCACCTTGAGGAACATGAACTTCAACATACTAAAGAGTATAGGTTTAAATGTAAGGAATGTGGGAAAGGATTCTTCCGAGAAAAACTATACCAGTATCATAAATGTAAAGCTCAAGATTTTGAGGAAGAAGAACCTGTGAAAATTATGAAAAGCAAAAGGTCAGGTCGGCGTGTAGGACGTCCCAGGACAAGGGTAATCACAGTGTCTGCTGAAACTCTCAAAAATGCTAAACTATTAGGAGGAGTGCCAAGGAGACGTGGTCGACCTCGTAAACACCCAATTGTTGATCCTCAGGAACCAGCTCCTGAAGAGAATAAATCTGATGAAACTACTGAGCCTCAAGAGGACCTGAATGATGAGCAAGTGCACGTTGATGTTACAGAAAAAACTGATTCCCCTGAGACTATTGAAGTTGAGTGTAAGATCATGGAATCAAATGAGGATGTGATTTATTCGACTCAACTCTCAGATGTCCAATTTGGAGATGGGACAATTGATGCTAATGCTATCCAACATGTTGATGTTCCTCCTGGGGCACAAATTCTAATCACTACTGTGGACCAGAATGGCCAGTATCTGACCCTGCATTCTCAAGGGGAGGAACATGCGGTTCAGACCATGACCTCTGATACAAACAGTCCAGCTCATATAGTTCTAACAGATGCTAGTGGTTCTCAAGCCTATGTAACAGCGGAACAGATTGCAGATTATCACACACATGAATCTGATCCTGTATTGCAAGGCACAGAAAATTTACTACAAGCCTCTGAGGAAATACTTCGTTCTGCTGATAGTTAGGATTTGAAATGTGAAATGGAAATTTTAGGTGTCTCCAGGGGTCTTTCTGAACTGGGTTAAAAAATCATCAATTTATTCAGTATTTCGAAAAAGGAAGTTCACAAATGGACAAAGTATCTTAATTTTTTCAAATACCAACCGATTTACAGATGATTATCCCAACAGAGTTCAATAAAGATATAGTAGAGCCCTCCATCATTTGGTCAGTCCATCTGTTCATCCACAGCATAACTCAAATACTAGTGGCAGCCATTTTTCATTAAATATGGCTCAAATCAAAAATATGATTCTATATTTATAATATACTCTAAAGTTCATTTCCATTGAGTATAATAAAGTTGTACTTCAGAGAAATCTCAAAATCAAAGGGTATTCTGGTCATTTTGTATACATTTACTTATCATTTACTTCTTTCCAACAAATATGAAAAAGATTTCTTCAGTTGGCTAAGTTGAGTAATGTTCCAGATGAATGAAGTATGTTCCAAGAATCGTGAAAAGTGTGAAATATAGTAGCATGTGAAAATTAATAGGAGTACAGTATGACTTTTCAGCCTTAAACGTTTAAAAATGCTTAAAAATGGCTGCATCTTATATAGAAAATCCATCATGTGAGCCATATATTTATATACAATATATGATATATGATTATAAATATATAATTGATTTGTTAATGCTGTAAGAACTACTTTCATGTGCATGTACAAATACAATTTTATGAATTTAATGCAATTAATTTAATTTATTTATGTGGAGTTTGACAAAATAAAAACTACATGTTACCTTCTAGGTTCTATAAAGATACTTACAGGCTATTATGTTTATAACTTGAAGATAATTTTGACCTTGATAGGGTCATTGAAGGTCAAATCCTAAATCCAAAGTCAAAGGTCTATGTGCAGTGTGGCAACTGATTTTAGACAGTCATATCTTTCACCATGAGTACTTTCTGGCCATAAATACAGTGGTTTTTAATAAAACAATATGTTTTCTTTCAAGTGAAGTACCAATGATGATAAAAATATCAATAAACTATATAAAATCTTTTATTATCTACAAATAGTAGATGCTCAAGATGGGATAAACTTTAGATCACAGCACATTCTACAAATAGCAGCCCTGGAAGATTTAGAGACATATACATATATTCCATGTAACCCTCTGGTGAAAATATGAATGATTATTTTCGATGCATCCTTCATTAGCCCTATTTACACTACTCGCGACATTTCAAGACGTCTTAGCTGAAACGTTTTAGTAAAATCATGTTGAGTTTACACCACCATTTTCAAGACGTCTTACGAAATATGATTGAGTTTACACCTGTTCGCTAAAACGTCTTAGAGATATGTAGGCATACATGTAAAATGAAAAAAGCAGTTCAACTCTGGTTGAAGGATGGTTCAGTCAACATAGCTATTCCTTTCCCGATTCAATACTTTCTGCTAAAGAATGCACCGGTTTCAAAAAAATATGTCCTGGAGCCCTTGAGAAAATCTGGATTTACATTACATTTGTAAAACGTTTTAATGCTTAAACGTTTTGGCCAAGACGTCTTAGGGCTCTAGTGTAAATCCAACAATAATAAGGCTTCATTGCTCTTTCAAATTCAGCCTTTCAATAATGGCCAGGTAATTTTACTATGCTAAGCTTGTATTCACGAATGCAAGTTTTGGCTGTCAGTTCTGGATTAACCTAATATTTTATGACCAACTCATTTAGTATGAATGGAATAGTGGCAGGTACTATTCATATTTAAAATGGTAGGTTTATCTGGTAGCCAAAATTGCATTTGCAAATACAAGCTTTCTTATTGGTGAAAGCTTTCTTATTGGCAAAATATTTTCACTAATCACAATTCTCAAATCACAATGAATTTATTGGACATATTTCGTCCTCCTTCTGTTTATGCCCCCTAATGAGATGTAAACTACTTATTGAATTTTAAACAAGAAAGCATCCAGACTTGGGCAATAAACACATTAGTGAATATATAACATCTGTTTATCATTGTAAACTATGTTTCGAAAATCTTTGTAACTTTCAATTCTTGAATCACACTGGAAATCCCTGACAACGGTTTAGTCAGATACCATTGTCACAAATGGCGGCCACGGGTTCGTATTCGATTTGATTTTCATTAACTATATGTTTAATAGAGCACCTAGATTAAATTCTTTTGGTACAACAATCAAACAAAGTGTCTTTCTATTCATTCTACCATCAAAATAAAGGCTTAGATTTAATCGATCGAATGTGGACAATATCCTTGAAATGGCTCCAAAGATAAAAAGTGATTCTTCCGAATTTAGAGCATGTTTTTTTAAAATGGCCATAAAATCAAGACTATAAAAAGTAGACCAATAAAACTTAATAGAATGAAAGAATATTGAACAAGGTTTAGCTGTGCTAAATATGAGTTAATTTCATGTTGGAAGGCGGAATTATGAACATTTATAAATGTTTGGGTTGCCTTTTTTGGCTCACCCTGTACATGTACAGTATTAGCAATAATAAGGTCCTATGAAATGAGAACCAAGAGATTAAAGAGTTGAAGCGATAGTTATGTCCGCCATTTGTGACAACGGCACCTAACTTAACCGTAGGGTGTTCTGGTGTGTGAATGTTACAATGGTTCTGATTGGCTGCTGATTTAAAGGCTAGACATGGATGCATGTATGTTCATGTGTATGTCAGTATAATGGGATATAATTCCACTCCATTGTTGGTATAAACATCAATCACTTAAATTAAATCATTCAATTTTGAGCAGTAGAAGTGAGGAGCTCCTATAATTCTTTGGTATTATGTCAGTGATATTTCAGACCATGATCCTTTGTAGGCTTTCTGACCCTTACAAAGTCTGGATTGTATTGTGAGTTGTACTTCCGCCTTCTATCATCAACCTCAACATGTTCCTTTTTCTTTTCCTCAACCTTTTCGCCTCTGGCTATGGCACGGATTTTATTACATTTTTCCCGTTCAGCTGTCTCTCGTTTGATCCTCTCTGCACGTAGTTCTGCCATTGTCTTTGATGGTTGTTTACATTCAGATGAAGCCTTATCATCTTTGTGTCTGTGATTATGTTTCTTCTCCTGAAAATTCAGTATCGATTATATTGAAGTACAAATAAGTGAAGTCTTGAAAGTGCAGAATTCATTTCAAATACAGTATTGATTATCACCTCAAGTACAAACAAGGCATTAACATGCAAAATATCACCACCTGCCATTTGTTACAGGCAATCAGCCAAACACAGATGGCTCAACACCATCCACAAAAAAAATTGGAGACTATAGGGTGGTTATTTCTGTTTTAGAGTAGCTTACTCACCCAGGAGGAGCCTCAATCAGATTGAGATAGCAACCTCTATCAACTACATGTAATTCAATTTTCACTTTCTCTATGCAGACTGTGCTATACGAAAACAAGTGGTGTGGATATCATGTTCACAACATTAACGGTTTTGAACATTTTTGAATTTGATTTCGTGATGTTTCACCAAATAAGGCATGTTGAGTACTCAATTATATTCATACATGTGTACACGTTCCCTAATAAAAAGGAAATTGTGTAAATAGGTGTGTAGTTCATTCTATGGCAACACATCAAGAAATAATACTTGCTCCAAAGCAAACAATTTGAAATTGCGTAAACAGCACTTATTCAACATTGGTGATCGAGATGACATATCAATACAAATTCTACCATGTTACATATTCAAGGAGATCACGTGAGAAAGCATTGCGCACGCAACAGACTAATAAGTAATCAGTGTGTTGCAGACACGCAAAGAGAACAGACGTGGGCTCAAAGCAGCTTCACATGTTCATGTTTGAAATATAATTATTTCACATCAGTTCAAAATTGAACTTAACTGCAAAATTGCAGGGATATTTATATTAGGAATCCATTTCCCTCAGTAAGTTTACAACTTACTAGTATACATGTACATTGATACAATTTTATTCATTAGTACGTTATGAGAATTTTCTAAATTTGTAACGTGTGTTCAGTGAAGCATTCAATATTGAATGCGTATATACTGTGCTAAGCCTATTTGGTCAACCAATTACAACGCAAAGCTCATAATTGAGTCAATTCTATTCAGGTGTGTTATTTGAATAGACCTACGTGGCAAGCTAAATTATACCACGTGGAATTTTTATGATGGCTGAAGCACAAGTTTCTAGTCCCAAACAGGGAAAGAAAACGCCAACTACACTAACCATGGATTCTGGTTCTAGTAAATCAAAGTCTACTAGTAAATCCACCACCTCTAAGAGGTCTTCTGTAACAGATACACCAAGTGTATCAAATGAGGATTCTGGACTCTCGGTGAAATTAGTCCACGACATCACGCAAGCATTGACTGTCGGTCTAGGAAATATTAAAGGTAGCATGACCGAAGCAATTCAGGATATGAAATCCTCCTGGGATATTTCCAATCAAATTGATTATGATGAGGATTATGAACAGTCTGATAATGCTATGGATGTTGATTCGTGTGAAACCTCTGGTAAAACACATGAAGGAAACCCCGAGACTAATGCTCTGTCCACTTTCATGAAGAAAATCCATGATAAGGCCAAGTTACAAGAGGAAATGGGCCCTCCGTTAAATAAATTTATGGCCGAAATGATCAAGGAGCTTGTGGAATCGAAGCCAGACGAAGATGATATGACCGCTAAAATGGAGGAGCACAAAACTCCCGAGAATGTACCCTTATTATGCACTACCAAGGTAAACGAACCTATTTGGGCAAGGGTAACGTCTGAGGTACGCTCCAATGATATAAAATATCAGAAGGTCCAATCACCTCTGGTGAAAGGCATAATTGCCTCGTCACGTGCTCTTGAGAAAGTGGACGGCCTAAAACAATCGTTATCTAAAGATACTGATGAATACGACGATGTGCTGGGGAATATCGCCGAAATGGTATATGAAAATATACTTTTCTGCACGTATGCGAACCTGAAGTTGAATATGCGCAGACGAGAATTGTTCAAAAACGAAATCAACCAGGGTTTTAAACACCTATGCGCAAAATCCGTCCCAATCACTCAGTGGCTATTCGGAGACGATATCTCGAGACAAGTCAAGGAAATTTCCGAGATGAATAAAACCCAACTGAGAGGCGTTTTCAGTAACCGAGGTCGTGGTTACCGTGGAGGTTACAAAGGCCGTGGTCGTGGACGTGGAGCCAATAACCATTTTTTATGGCAAGGCGACAAGTCAAACACCGGTCAGCGGAATTCCTACAAAGGAAATGGCGCCAAGAGAGGCAAGTGGTCAAAGACCAAGTCCCAGAACAAGTCGTCCCAGGACCAAGCTGCTTCACAGTAGAAGAGCCTATCAAGATTGACACCGAGCCTGAAAAGGTAAGATCAATTCTATATAATTCAGTCAAAGAATTTCAAGGTGGTCGTCTCAAACAATTTATGCATGAATGGCAATTGTTGAAATCAGACAAATCAATCTTAAATGCAATTAATGGCTATACAATTGAATTTTGTAATGATGATACATTGTATTATACAAAATCAATGGGCTCGAAATTCAAAATTCTCTAAATCTGAGAACGAAAACATGGATATAGAAATCAATAAATTTCTAAAGAAGGGTATAATCATTCGGTTAATCACTCAGAGAGAGGTTATGTTTCACCTATCTTTCTTACGCCCAAACATGATGGATCAAAAAGAAAAATCCTCAACTTATCTGATTTAAATAAAAACGTAGAATATCATCATTTCAAAATGGAGAATCTACAGCATGCTATTGACATTTTGTCACCAAATATGTACATGTCATGCGTCGACGCTAAGGACGCTTATTACAGTGTTCCCATTGCTTATGATTCTCAAAGATTTCTGCAATTTGAATGGAAAGGCCAATTGTATCAGTATACATGTTTGGCTCAAGGGCTGAGTTCCGCTCCTAGAATATTCACTAAAATAATGAAGCCTGTGTACGCTAAATTGCGAAATGAAGGTCATTTGTCAGTAGCATTCATTGACGATTGCTGTTTATTTGCAGAAACCTATGAACAATGCAAGCAGAATTTGTTTGACACGATCACATTGCTTCGAAAGCTTGGCTTCATAATCCACCCTGAGAAGGTGACACTAGAGCCTACACAGGTAATAACGTTTCTTGGATTCATTTTGAACTCTGTCGAAATGACTGTAAAATTACCACCAGAAAAGTCTCAGACGCTCAAAATTGTGTAGAAATATGATATCACGTGATAATTGCACTATTAGAGAAGTTGCACAAATCATTGGGAAATTTGTTTCTTCTTTTCCTGGAGTTCAATATGGTCAATTGCACTACAGGAATGTTGAACGAGATAAAACATTGGCTCTGTCCTTAAATAAAGGCAATTTTGACGCATGCATGATTTTATCTGAAGCTGCTAAGTCTGATTTACAATGGTGGATAAATCATGTTGATACTGCTTTCAGATCAATCTCAATTCCAGAACCAATTGTCTTTCTGAGAACGGACAGTAGTACCCTAGGTTGGGGTACATTTGATGTTGTTAATGATGTGAAGACCGGAGGCCGTTGGTCAGACGAGGAATCTAAACATCATATCAACTATCTTGAATTACTGGCTATATATTTTTAGGTTTGAAATGCTTTTGTAAAGCACATTCCGACATCCACGTCCGTGTACAAACGGACAATACCACAGCTCTTGCTTATGTTAACAAGATGGGTGGAATGACATCACCAGATTGTGATTTGTTAGCAAAACAAATTTGGAATTTCTGTATTTTTAGAAAAATCTGGCTGAGCGCTGCATTCATTCCAGGGTGTCAAAATGTCGAAGCCGACGCAGAATCCAGAGTGTTTCATAATGAGACGGAGTGGATGGTTGATAAATCGGTCTTTGATCGTATTTGTAAGCTGCCAAACTGGCCATCACCAGTAATTGATATGTTTGCATCTAGGTTGAATCACCAGTTGCCACGCTATGTCTCTTGGAGACCTGATCCAAATGCTGAAAATGTTGACGCATTAAATATCAAATGGGATAATGAATCAATTTATGTTTTTTGTCCTTTCAGTTTAATCACGAAAGTCCTGCAGAAGATAGAATGCGAGGGCCTGACTCACGTGATCATCATCGTTCCGATGTGGACAACGCAGCCGTGGTGGCCAAAACTTCTAAGAATGTTGATCGACCCCCCGGTGATTCTACCAAAACGTCAAACATTACTGACATTACCGTACGATCGGACCAAGGTCCATCCACTTTGGAACAAGATGAGTTTGATCTGTTGTCTTTTATCAGGACATCAATCGAAAGCCAAGGCGTTTCGAAGGACACTGCAAACGTTATTTTACTCTCGTGGAAAGCGGCATCCAAGAAACAGTACTCAGTGTACTTACGTAAGTGGGTACTCTTCTGTCGTCGACGGAATTACGATCCCTTACACGCATCTTTGAGTTTGGGACTTGATTTCCTTACGTCATTATTCAAAGATAACCTAAGTTATAGTGCTATTAACACCGCAAGATCAGCACTCTCTTTGATCATGTCGTATGACTCGGTGACTTTTGGATCCAATCCTCTCGTTTCGAGATTCATGAAAGGTGTATACAATGATAGACCTCCTTTGCCTAAATATGACTCTACTTGGGAGGTTTCTACTGTACTCAATTATCTTGAAACGCTATCGCCTAATGAAACTTTAACACTTAGAGATCTTGCGATAAAATTAGTGACATTACTAGCCTTAGTCACAGGACAACGTCGACAAACTCTACATTCACTTGAAGTACATAACTGTGTTGAAGAAAAAACTTGTTACAAACTCTTAGTATCTAAATGTCTTAAGACATCCAAATGTGGTAAAAGTTTACCTGTTTTAACATTGCCTAAATATGGGAATACACGATTATGTGTATGTGATGCATTGAAGAATTACATTGACCGCACGGACACTCTGCGGGGTAATGAAAAACAATTATTCATAAGCTGTCAAAAACCATTTTCTGCAATATCTTTAGATACTATCAGTCGTTGGATTAAATGTGCATTAGAAAAATCAGGCGTCAATGTACAATTATTCAAACCACATTCAACACGTTCTGCCTCTACTTCAGCAGCCCTGAGGGCAGGCAGTAGTATAGACTCTATTCTTAATGCTGCAGGATGGAGCAGCAGTGCAACGTTTGCAAAGTTCTATAATAAGCCCTTACATTGTAAAAATGACAAAAGTCAATTTGGTTTAGCTGTTTTAAACTCTGCTACTACATGTAAGTGATTATTATATTCTTCATAGTAACACTTATTAGGCTCTGTGTCAATATTGGCGTCATCATTTTATGGCGTTTTTGTATTATTTGCATTTGATTGTTTAATAAATAATGAATACCTCATTATATTATGCCTTGTTCTTTGTGAAAGTGATTGATTTACATTATAAAATGTCTTGTCACATAGTTTTTTGATGAATGTGTCCATCTGGGCTTTAAACATCTCACGTGATCTCCTTGAATATGTAACATGGTAGAATTGGAAGTTAAACGAGCCTTTGGAAAAGGTGAAGTTTGACTGGAATTCTACCTGTTACATTGATTCAAGGAGATCATGTGCCCATACCCAGGGACTACCCTCCCTTTATATTACTCCAGTGTGTGGTGTGAACTTTAATATACTTTATTTACCTATGATTAAAGTATTCTAGATCACAAACGTAAGTCAAAATAATTTCAGAACTATTGAATTGAATTCACGCTTGATTTATTCATCTAGACACATTCATCGTTAAAGGCTGATTACTTATTAGTCTGTTGCGTGCGCAATGCTTTCTCACATGATCTCCTTGAATCAATGTAACAGGTAGAATTCCAGTCAAACTTCACCTTTTCCAAAGGCTCGTTTAACTTCCAATTATATTTGCATTTTGAAAGTTGAAAGGTATCTGTGTACCTTTATACAGAATGGGAAACATTTTACAGAAATGTGCTACCTCTAAACAAGCGGTGCGGATATCCTAAAAGTGACGTATCCGCACCGCTTGTTTCGAGGTAACACATATCCATCAAATGTTTTCAATCTTTTAAAAATTCACACAGAAAGTTTATGACTTTCAAAATGCAAAAATAATTTATATCAATTGGTCATCTCGATCACCAATACTGAATAAAGGCTGTAAACTGTGTAATAAAGCAGCAATTTCAAATTCTTTGCTTTGGAGCAATGATGAATGCTTAGTGCGTCTTTTAAGAATGAAGAACACAACTATAGGCAAAATTTCCCTTTTTATTACAAATGGATGGACTATAATTGAGTACCCAACATGCCTTGGTTTATGAAATATCACAAATTCAAAATGTCTGTAAATATCCGCATCTTGCACACACGATATCCGCACCACTTGTTTTAGTATAACAAAGTCTGCATAGGATGTTACTGCATGCTATTACTTTACCTACCTTGTGACTTCTATGCTTTTTATGCTTCTTCTTCTTCTTGTTAATAAACTCATTCATCTGGTGAACTGGGTCAAGATAATTCTTCAACTTTTCATCTTTATCAGACCTAAGGTAATCCAAATATACATATGCATGAATATCAATTCATATACCGTAATAAGAATGGATATTATTAGATATGGATGAGGTATCATTTTAATCACATTAGAATATTTTTACATTTTTCTAATACACAAGGGGTCATCAATAAGTAATGGATGCTTTTTCACACATATGCTTTTTATTGACCAAACTCTTTCCACCAGTGATGAACCATTCAGTTATCTATCAGATCTGATAGCGCAGTCAGATGTCCCTTTGATAGTTCATCTTTTTCAGGAAAGCAACAAACTTGGCACAGTTGTAGAAATGTATGATCTGAATGAAAAATGATTTCTGGCCAAGTGAATCGGGGTGGTCTTCATGGATTTTTTAGTCTCTGACCCCCACCCCTATCAGGCGGGGAGGGGGTACATTATAAAAAATAAATAAAAATGGTTTTAAAGTATATTTCTTTAAACAACTTCTTTTGGTGATTGCTTTGAGCCTTGAAATTGAGAAAAACCCATTTTAAAAGTGGTGTTTAGTAAGGGAAATACATTTTAACCAAATTATCTAGCGAGAATTAATCTTTTAAAGTGTCAAATATGGGGCAAAATGTCCACCTTAACATTTACCCAGAATCCCCAAAAACTAGTCAGAACTAAACTTTAATACATGTAGTCTAATAGAAACATTCCTTAAAATTTCAGATAAATCCCTGAAATGGTTAAAGGCTGGAAACCTATAAACAAGACTCGACAGACAAGATTTTAGGATGGAAAATCAAAAATGGCTGTCTTACATTTACCCAGAATGCTCAAAAACTGTAATCAGATGAATCCCTAAAACAGTTTGGCTGGTAACCTGTAGACAAGATTAATCGTGACGCCAGCCACCTAATCATCTGCCCGGAAAACTGAATACAAAATAGCACCCAAGGATGTGATAAAAATGATAGGCAGGTGAATATGACATTCATGAGAGGGTTTGTAATTGAAATACATTTTTTACAATACTTAATCATATACCAAATCGTATAGCAAATGTTACATTTTGAATTCCAATATTACTGCACCTTTTTAGATTGAGTGTATCTTTATCTGTGTCTGGCTGGTTCTTCTCAAGGTACCAAGGTTTTGAGGCTGAAAGCATCCAAAATAACATATACCAATAAGAGTCATTGATAGGAGGCAGGCTATGGGGACTGAAACCATTGCAGACTGGAGGAAGGCCTTGAGGACTGGGATAAGCTATGAGGATGGGAGGCAGACTATCAGGACTGAGAGCTATGAGGATTAGGCAGAAGCACTTGTTACAATTGCCTGCGCCCTCAAAACCCAGGTTTGCAGCTCTCCAAATCCGCATTTTGCAAAAAAGCAAACGGTGCATCATTCGATTCGTTCGTATTATTTTCCATAGTTTTCAAACCAGAATTTTGTATGTTTTTATTTGAAGGGTTCCTCGTAATTATAACTCTCAACTCCCACAGTGATGTCTGGGAATGGACAGTGACGTAGCCAGCTTTCAGTTCTTTTATTTCATGTTCTCTTTTTATTGGTTATGGGGGGACCAATGGCTAAACCTATGATGGATATGTTTTTTTATATTTAAAATTCTTTTCTGTTTCTGATATTTTAAAATGATGGATATGTTGACTAGCACTGCCACTGACTTTTTACGAGATGCTTTAATTACCTTCATATGTAAAGAATAAAATGTGTAAAATTCTCCAATAACAAGTCAAAAGCATAACCCTACATCCATGTTTTTATGATTATACAAATATATATCTGGGGTGGATGGTGAAGCTTTGAATAAAGATGTATTTTAGGAGTCATACAATCTATTTTAAAGAAACATGTATGAGTTCTATTCAAAGCATAGTTTTTTTTCTTAAAACATGGTATACTTAAGGGGAGGGGGTCTGTCAAGATAAGGTATGATACTCCAAAACTTAATTAAATACAATATAATCATCATCAAAACACACTAAAAAGTCAGGATTTTAATCAGAAATCAAAACAAGGCATTACCATGACAAAATGTCACCACCTAGTTGCTCACAATATTATTGTAGATGATTTTGAAAAATGGTCAATTTGAAGCAAGTTGAAAAAAGACCTTTTTGACCCTGAAAAGGTCATCGAAGGTGGAATCTCAAATCTAAAGTCAGATTTGAAGTTCTGATAACTTGTACATGATTTTGAATGGTCAATTTGAAGCAAGTTGAAAAAAGACCTTTTTTGACCCTGAAAAGGTCATTGAAAGTGGAATCTCAAATCTAAAGTCAGAGGCCTAATTCATGAAAGATCCGCTAGCTTGCGTAGTGTATTTGCGTGTCCGCATTTTATTGTGTTGCGTGGCATTCACGAAGCTATCTGCAAATCCATTAGGTGTCCGCATGTAATCTCCGTGTCCGCAATCTGTGTCCATGATGATTTTACCACTTCTTAGGGCAGGACCTCGGAGTCACATTTTTTATCAAAACAACATTATTTGTTAGTTATTTGAAGTTTTAAGAATTTGTTACAGACGCCAACCGCCACCTGCTGATCGCCAATCACCAACCGCCATAAAAAAACGGAGACCACAACAATATGTCACCACTTTTTGGTGATTTTTTAGATTTTATATTACTAATTTCATAAACATTAATTTATTGCCATTGTTAACATTTTGTCAATAATAGTATATATTCTCTGATGCACGAGCTACTAGCAAAACCGGAGTTGATCCCAAACCCTATATGACACTACTATAATAATTGATAAAGTGAGTGCAAGGGGTCTTTTGACTTGAAATTCTGGCCACTGATTAGAATAACTGACTTTTATGTGTTTAACGTCTTCGTGTAAACAGAATAACACGTAGATATTCTAATTAAACAAATGTTTTCTACTTCTTGGCCTCATTAAACACTTATTTCGTTTAGAATGCATTTAAACCCTGGTGAACCCTGGTCTGCCAAACAAACATTTAAAAAAGCAAAATGCATCTGTGTTTGACTGTTAAATCTCCTGCTCCCTGAAGTATGAATTATCAATGTAGTTTTGCACAGGGGTTTAAAGAAAGAAACAGTGAACCCTGGTCTACCGAACCCGGGTTTCCTGGATTTGACCACCATACCTTCGACTCTTTCTCGGATTGGGGGCAGGATTAGAACTTGAGGTAGGCTTTGAGGACAGGAGGCAGGCTTTGAGGGCTGGAACCTATTAGGATTGGGGGCAGGATGAGAACTGGAGGTAGGCTTTGAGGACTGAAATAAGCTATGAAGACAGGAGGCAGGCTTTGAGGACTGAAATAAGCTATGAAGACTGGAGGCAGGCTTTGAGGACTGGAACCTATGAGGATTGGGGGCAGGATGAGAACTGGAGGTAGGCTTTGAGGACTGAAATAAGCAATGAAGACAGGAGGCAGGCTTTGAGACTGAAATAAGCTATGAAGACAGGAGGCAGGCTTTGAGGACTAGACCTATGAGGATTGGGGGCAGGATGACAACTGGAGGTTAGCTTTGAGACCTGGAATAAGCCATAAAGACAGGAGGCAGGCCATAAGGATGGGAGGCAGGCTTTGAGGACTGAAATAAGCATGAAGACAGGAGGCAGGCTTTGAGGACTAGACCTGTGACCTATGAGAATTGGGTGCAGGATGAGAACTGGAGGTTAGCTTTGAGACCTGGACACTCTACTATATCTAACCCCTAGAAATGCATAAGATACTCCGTGTGTCTAATTGTATTGTTTAGTATATTTTTGAAAGTACCTTATTACTAACAGTCATCCAATAAACATTAATAATAAGGAACAGACAAAAAAAAACAAAAACATAATCATTACTAATAAGCTAAATGGGTTGCCCATGAACACCAAATGCAAGGTATAGTAGAGTTAGGATTAAGCTATAAAGACAGGGGGCAGGCCATAAGGACTGGAGGTAGGATGAGGATGGGAGGCAGGCCATAAGGACTGGAACCTATATGAACTCAAGGCAGGCTTTTATGACTGGAATAAGCTATGAGGACAGGAGGCAGGCTATGAAGACTCGAACCTTTGAGGACTGAAGGCAGTCTTTGAGGACTGGAATAAGCTATGAGGACTGAGGGCGGATATACTATATATTCAATCAAATAGCACAAACAAGTCGAATACTTACTTTCAGGTTCAAGAGCACTCTGTCCAAGATATGTCAAAAGTCCAATACTTTTCTCATATTTCTCTTGTTCTGCTTTCTTCTCCTTCTCATGATCAATATTCTTCTTGCTGTTGTTGGACGTACTTAGCTGTAAATAGCATACAAGACATATAGTAAAGCAAATGAGAGGTCACTCGTCCATATCCAATAACCCTCAAGCAACACCAAACTAGTTCTCACGACATTCTTGAAACGTGTTGCCAAACAGGCTAAAATAGTGTTCAAATTGAAATCTAAGAGACTTGTGAACTTCATGGATATGCTCTGATAGGAATTGCTTTAGAGCCTACAAGATTTTTTTCTGGCAGCCACATTATTCTGCAATTGAACCAAGTAATACATTAAACAAGATGGATCTACAGGGTGAGCCAAAAAAAGACAACCCAAACAAATGTTAATAACTTAGTCATTCAGCATGGGTTTGAGGTCACCTTGTTCAATATTATTTCATTCTACCACTGTTCATTAGTCTAATTCAAATGGTTTTACAAAACATGCTCAAAATGCCAGTCATATCTCTGGAGGCAAACATGAATGCATCGGGTGAAGTTATTCTGACTACAGCTCACAAATATCTTTTGTAATGGCTCTCATTTTCTTCTTATCTGTTGTTTCAACTCATTGATGCTTTTCGGGTTGTTAATGTTGTCTTTGAAATAGCCCCAAAGATAAAAGTCTCAGGCTTTATATCGGGTGAGTTTGGCATGTTTGGCATTTTGAGCACTTTTTGTACAATGGCCATAAAATCATGAACATTGGGAAGTATGAAACTTAAAAGAATGAAAGAGCATTGGACAATACTTAATTGTGCCAAATATGACTTTAAACCCATGCTGGGTGACTGAGGTATCAACATTTACATTTCATCCGGAATTATCCAGTGGTCAAGGCCATAAAGTCCAACTGAGAACAGAAATGCTTTTTTCAAACCTTGCATGGGGCCTCAGATATTCATTTAAATAAATCATATAAACAAAATAATTTGAATTTTGTGTCTTACCCCAGCCTCATGGTCAGCAAAAAAGTTAATATGACTTTCAGGTTTATGCTCAGCAAGTGTGGTGTCATTAAAAGATCCACCTCCTTCTTCTTCAAACTGAGCTAAACGTTTCCTTGATTGTTTTCTGAGATGATTAGTTCTTGCCTCTTGTTCCTGAAGTATAAATTCATACATGTATTGAAATATAACTCAGAAAAACAGCATCTTCTCCAAATAAACAGATCTAAACAAAAATATTTATCTAATCACTCATCATAAAATTTGGTAAAATGCAATCTAGCCAAATCGATTGATGTATGTACGAGTTATGAAAGATCATATTTTTACATTGAAATTTAAATTTCAAATTGAACTGACCAGCCATTAGTAATCCTTCTCAAGCAGAAGTCCTAATGTGAACTAAATCAGATAATCAGTATTAAATTAGTTATCAACAAATTACATTGTGTGTGAAAAATTGTGGTCAATTTGAATTCAATGGGTTTGTGTAAAAAAACTGGGTGACCGGGTAACCGGGTACCCGGTCGACCGGGTACCTAACGTTCCTAGCAGGGTTACCAACTTTCAAAGTTCCACATTTCCCCCAATATATAGTAGCCAATTGACTTGACAGACTTAGCCTACCAAGTGCATGGCTGTTCGATATTTTTACCCTATACGAGACAGAGCACTTTTTAAACAAATCGATCCAGCAAACAGTGACGTCCATGTCACGTTGCTCATAAGTAGCATATAAGTTCCTAGAAGACGTTGCACATTTTCGTTCTTTACACATCAACTAGCAACGTAAACATGAGACATCTATTAATGGTATAAAAAGAACGTTGTTGTAATGTGTCCGTAAAGAACGTTTGATTTTTTACTACAAACTCAAACGTTAAAATTCAACGTTGTCAAAGCAGGCTTTTAATATCAAAATATTTGTTGGTGGAAAAAAAACATAGACGTATTGTTAACGTTAAAATTTAACGTTGTCGAAACGTTTTTTCGATTTAAATAACCTCAAAACCTGACGTCAATAATGACGTTCATGGACCGTATTGATCTGACGTTATTTAAATATTCAGCAAAACGTCGATGGATGGTTGAATTTCAACATTGTGGAAATGGCTTCAAAATATTTGTGAGTTAAGGAAACGTTACAAAGACGTCAATATGTTCTCACTAAATTGGTTCATTACCGACGTTATTTTAACGTTAAAAGTCAACGTTGTCAAAACGTTCTTACTACGATGTGAAATAACTTCAAAACGTGAAGTCGAAAATAACGTACATGTATTGTCCAGATCCAACGTTATAAATAAAAAAAATTCCTAACCCTGATAGGAACGTTAAGTACCCGGTCACCTGGTTTTTTACACAAACCCGAATTCAATGGCCATCTTGAAAATTTCATTGGTTGGGATAAACAATGTTTTACACAGGGTTTTGAAAAAATAGTTGAAAAATCTTACTCCCAACGCAAGTCTTAAGTTTTTCTGTTTTTCTTCTTCTGCAGCTTTTGCTTCATCAGCTCGAACTCTTGCAATATTATCCTTGTTTAAAACATGCCAACTGGAAATAACAAAGAACAGCATGAATATAACACCAAGAACAAGTAGAATTTTCAAGTGTCTGAAATCAACTTGTCTGAATCCCTATTGTCTGATTGTCTGAATCCCAAAGGTCCGAATCCCAATCGTCATGGGCATAGGCAAGTTTTATCAAGATCTGAAAATAAGCATTTCAGATTCATGTCCTCTGCTAAGTATTGGTATAGCACTGACATCCAAATTGGAATATGTGAACTCTACACAAGTGAATAACTTGCAAATTACAAATTACCTTGGGATAGATCCGAAAATTGGTGGATTTTTTCAATCCGCCAATCCGTCAAATCAAAACAGTAGCCAGTAGTGTATCTACAGTATTCAATTAGAAAGCTCATGATTAACCTAAGAAAAGGTCAAGTCAGAATACTTCAGCAAGAGTCGGAATATTTGAGTAGCCCAGAATACTTGGAGTGGCACATCTGTGCTTCAATTTAAGTACAGTGAGAGCTATCATTCATAATTAGTTATTAGAGTTAGACTGAAAGTGTAATAACTCTTTTGACTTCTATAGTTTCAACTCTGGTTTTTATAATCATTGATTTGATGTGTACTTCACCTTGTTTTTTAACTTCAGTTGATTCTCAATACTCTAAGAATTATTTTGATACTTAACCATGGCCAGAATTGCTTGCAAATCATAGATATCATGGATATCGAGCTTGAAGCACAAAATTTCTTACTCTTTTGGGCCAAGTCGCTGTTCAAGGACATGCTGAATATCTATTTATTGATCGCATGAAATGTTAAAATAGCTTTTTACTTACAAGTTACAAAAATATGAAAGTTGGATAAACTTTTTTTCTAAATTAATCTACCAGAATTCATTCTATTAGATCAGATATTTGATAGATGGTGCTGACTGCACAGTCAGGATGCAGTTATGCAGCCAAAATCATGATCTTATCTCCAAGTTCAACCAGAACAACAGCAACGCCAAAGCGTAGCAAATCCCAATGAACAGAAATGACCCAAAATTTTATAAGACAGTATGCAATCATTATGAGTATTCACATATCAAATATGAACAAAATCGCTCTATTACTTTTTAAATTATAATAAATAAAAATGTAAAATTAAACACACTAAAAATGGTAGCCATTTTTCGAAATGGCCGACTACTCCCGAAAGTTTTATTAGACAATATTGCTATTACAGTTTTATATGCAGTACTTAAATTACTGAAAATTGGGACTAAAATGAGCCATTTTTAAATGAGTGGCCATTTTGAAAATCGATTTTCGAGCAGAACTTCTATCCCATTTGGTATATTTGTACAAAATATGAATAAAATCGGGCTAACGGTATTTGAGTTATTGCCCGGACGGATGGACATACGGACGTAGGTACGGATGGATGGAGGCGTTCCCTATATCCCTCCGAACTTCGTTTGATGGGATAATAACTTAATCAAGAATGTCCGGCGAAATAAGTGGGTGCTGTTCAAAATGCTGCAATCTGATTGGTCAATATCGAAAAATTGTCCGCCAAGTCCATTTTTGAATGTTTTGATGATGACATTCACGCTAAATTGATGGTGATTTCTATTTTTCAAGCAAATGCGTGACAATCACACCTAATGCGTGAGGGTTGACAGGGCTGTCCGTAGACTGTATCCTTCATCTGAATAAATTCAGACTGAATATTATATTCGGCCTGTTGGATACATACAGTACTAGGGCTGTCCTAACCAAACCCGTCTGGCCCAGTTATCTACTCCCGACATCGTAGATCTGGGCCAGACGAGGTCCAATGCAAAAAGGGAGTTTTACTCCGGAAAAAACATGTCGCTGAATCATCACTTATTATTCATTCCCTATTAGCCATCCAACCAAAACATTGGGCTCCATGTAAATCCAAGTATTCATTTGAAATAAAGAATATAACTTACACGTAAATGTGGTGTTTTGTTTGTTATGTTGATGTTGCAATGGGCACAAGATTTCGTCAATATTTTCGTCAGTTCTCCGCACCGAATAAAGTCATGTGATGTTAAGTAACACAAGTGTGACGCAATGATTTTTTAGCTTTCATGTAACGAAATACATTTCCAGGGAATCAATACATTCCAAATATTAAGATTTCTTCAGCAGATTTGTTATCAAAATGTAGATAACTTTATAAAACTGACGTATCTGTGTAGTATTTAGACTTTAAAGAAATATGGTGGACAATAAATACGATTTTTCAATTTGTTGAACTGACCGAATGTATGCAGCCGAGACTTCTCGATATTCTACGAGATCACAAACAGATTGCAGAAGAATTTTTCTTTTTGCTGCATTTAATCGTTTCGTTCTTATTTATTAGCCATCATACAGTGATGGAAGCCTAACATAAATATAAAGTTTGATACAAAGAACAAACACGTGAGTGTTTTTTATGATGTTTATTCATTTATCAGCACGTATTATAGTTTATACATAGAAAATCCAGTGTGTTTTTCGGGAGTAAATACCCACTTTTTTGCATTGGACCTCGTCTGGCCCAGATCTACGACGTCAGGAGTACATAACTGGGCCAGACGGGTTTGGTTAGGACTGTCCGTGCGTGGATTCAAGAGATTCTTGAAGCCCAATTTCCCCCCGGGGCTTTCCAAGCACTTTGCACGTTTCGCGGTCATCGAGATAGATTTGGGTAGATTTTGAGATATAAAAAAATCACATACCTTTTGTGAGGCAAAATGTTCATGATGAAATGCAAAATCCTCAATAAAATGAGGAAACCGTCCAGGAAAACATAAAAAAGATTGGTGAACAGTAAATTTACGACCGCTCGGAAGCAGATTGTTTTTTTCATGAACCTTGTTATATTCTAAAATATCTTCCAAATACGCACAGATAATGATAAGAACTTTTTATTGTGTGTGAGTGTATGCTTTGTATGATATGCGTTGTATACAGTATTGTCAGTTTAGTGACGTTAAAGTGTTAGTTTATCTCGCAAACTATACACCCGATTATTGACGCTCGCTTTTTTACTGGCAAATACATGACTCACCACAAATTGTCAACATGGAAAATGTGAGAAACATCTTCGATAATTTTATCGTGAATTTACAACTGGTTATCGACCAATTAAAAGGTATCATTTTATAATTTTAGAATTTGATGTTGCATGTTATTTACGTATATTAGTTAGAAAATGGTTTTGTCTGTTTTAGTCTTGAGGAATTCTTCTGAATGAACCATAAAAAATCAAGTCGAATAAAGTGGGGGACAAAAATAAAATCAAAAGTTGTCACAATCATAGGCCAAGGGTAAAGTAATAGTAAGCCATACTAGTAAGCTTACTATAAACTTACTATTACTTTTCCCTTGGCCTATGGTCACAATGAGCTAAATTTCAAGTTTCGTGTATCAAACTCTCCCAACCGGTAGAAAAATAATTCTTGTTCACTTTAAGTAGGGGAAGTCGTCCTATCATCGCACGGGTACTCAGGGAAACTACTGACGATTTCAAATATGATAATTTAAACTCACTTTGAGAATATGAGACGAAAGATCAACCTTTCTTGTCAAGTTTAGCTGTGTTTTCACTTTTCTTTTCTCCGAAAACCCCTTAGACTTATATGTGTGGTCGTCCTATCATCGCACGCCTCGTCCTAATTATCGCAGGAATCGTCTTTATCGTCTCACGGTTGTGTTTCGATTGCTATTTGAGGCTATTTCGTACATTTCATTGTTTGAAATGAAGATTGAAATGAAGATTTAACGATAAAAATTGGGTGTATTCATCTTATTATCTATATTGTATATGTTTCCATGGGGTCTTTGAAGCTCCCAAGTACGAGGGCCGATTTATATTAGTAGACAAATTACTTACCAAAATATATTGTTTTAACATTTGTCAAGAGACATCACGTGTAATAACAATGTTATTATAAAGTCTATGTGAATATTTTCACTTCGTTTACATTTCTTGTATAACTGTGCTTATTGTTGATCGGACGGAAAGAGAAGCTGATGCAGTTACACTAGAGTTCGTGTACTACCATTTTGAAGGCACGCGAGGGTCCCATTCATCAGGTAACACTCATATGTCGAAGTTATGTTCTTATTATTTTTAACAGTTAACAAGGAGTAGTGAACAGGAATTATTTTTCTACCGCTTGGGAGAGTTTGAGACACGAAACTTGGAAATTAGCTCATTGTGACAACTTGTGAACGTTGAGTTTTATTTTTGTCCCCCACTTTACTCACTTTTTTCTGAACAAATGTAGCAGCCAATGGTTTAAGGACTACTGATTGACATCTTTCACACACTACGGAATTCACATTTTTACAATCTTTCACTTGCTCAGCCACTTCCTTGGGTAATGTAGATCTGTCCACGCTGTTGCTTTGTGCTGCCTCCATTTTACAAAAAAAGTTTGCACAAAAACTCCAAAAATAAACAGGAAGTAACTCATGCACGAACAGTCAAATCAAAATTTAGTCGATTTAGCCAAAATCACACCTGTCATTTTGCTCAGCAAATGAGAAAAACAGAGGTGGAAAACGACTAACTATGGTATATGTGGATTGTATACCATTGAGTTATGTCTTCTTCCTTTTTTAACCCTTTCATTCGAGACAGTCTCTTTTGAAAATGGAGTCTAAATAATAACAATTCTGTTTATTAACAATAGATTTTATAGATTTGTCCCTCCCCATATTTCTAATCAAAGGGAATTCCCTAAAAATTTGACGTAGGGGGTATTCCCCGGTAAAGAAGATAGAAATTTGAAAAATACGAATATATGATGCATGTTGAAATGAATTGACCATATGAAAATACATGATAAGGTAAGAATTAGATCTATATGTTTTTAAGAGATATACATAAATTGCAATAGCATGTACTATGGTAATGTCCTAAGCAGCTTGGAGGAAATGTAAGCTTAGAATGCACAGATGGCAGAATTTTTCTTACAGTGGGGATCATAAAGAATTGCAAAAGCTATGAAAATTACATGCTGTCGCACATGTAATAAATTCTTACCTCAGTGTATTCAGTGCTCTATTTTTCCCGTCTTAGTAAGTCCAAATATAGTGGAATTTGTGTCCCTAATGACAAATAAGAACTTCAAAAGTTGAATTGGATATTCACATGTTATGCCGACTTATCCCGTTCCAGACTATAGTCCTGTACTGAGCGCATACATTTGCCTGTACGATTACAACTTGGGAGAATTATCTACGCCCCTTCCACTTAAGAAACCTACCTCAATGCATTCTAGAACTCATAATGTAACTTCTAATATATTGGAACCGCCGATTGTCTGGGTTAGTTGGCAGAACGAGGTCTTTTTGTTTCTTATGGCTCTTCTGGTCGAAGTTCGATTAAGATGGCGGTTATAACGGAATTTCCCGAACTTTTCCGTAATAGCACGAACTTGGTATTTCGTTACGTCACTTTCGTGTAAAATGGATTTGTTTTCGGTAAGAGGGAATTTCGAAAATTTCAGACAATATTTTCAATATTTACTGCCATGTTGACATCCTATGCTCTTAACTGTATACCGAATGGTTAAACAATGTTTCTTTCGAACTTCGACCAAAAGTCTCAAACTCTCCCAAGCGGTAGAAAAATAATTCCCATTGACTTTAAGTAGCACAATAAATGAATCCAAAGCTTCATACCTGCAAATGAAGAATAAATCCCTACGGAATCGAACAAATGCTTTCATGAATCCCCATGTTTGTGATCCAAGGAGGATTGACTCCCAGAATGCAACATCAGGAACCTTATTTACTCGTGACAGGTTTCAAAATGGTGGAACGGCATTTTGAAAGCCGGCACGTGTAATGTTTCATTCTGAGAGTCAATCCTCCGTTGCGGCGTAATCAGGCTACAAAATCACCTCAACATTTGAAGAGTCGGCATTACATGTAAATATCCACTTCAACTTTTCAAGTTCTTATTTGTCATTATGGACACAAATTCAACTATATTTTATTTGGACCTACTAGGACAGAGAAAATAGAGCACTGAATACACTGAGGTAAGAATTTATTACATGTACTATGCAACATGCATGTAATTTTTATAGCTATAGTAATTCTTTATGTTCCCCACTGTAAGTAAAGGTTCTCTTTCTTGGTGTATTCGACTCAATTGTTTATACATGTTCCTAGGCCTATGCTCATCAAGTGTCCAGCAACTCACTTGATTGTCCCACGGATTTGATCAAAATTTATGGTTTGCCAACTTACTCAAAGTATACACCTTCATATGTTGTTTATTGGGGTCTGCGCATTATACCGAAACCCATTATACTGACCTGGGTATTGTATTGTTCAATTATTACGTCATAAATAATATAACTGTGTACTTCCATTTTGAATGTAATCTTGATAAAGCTAGTTGGATGATTAGTGAAACGTCGAAAATAAAACATTTTACTCTGAAGTAAATGAACTTAAGTTATTATTAATATATTACCAGAGTGATGAATTTACACAGAAATATATTTTATAACTGAAAAGCTGCTTATTCGCAGAGAAACTGAACCAGCACATGCAATGACAATGCCAATCATGCTTCTTTTGTCGGAAGTCTTTTATGATCTAATATGAAGTTACTAAAAGATGTGCTAACGTCCTACACTTGGAATGATCGTTTTTCCATTATAACTTTTTAACATATTTAAAGGAAGGCTTCTAATTATTGTCTAAGATAGTCTTAATACCAATTAAAATATTTCTTACTTCAAATAGGTACACCCTTCTTTATCTAATTTTCTAAAAAAAAGTATAAAATAACTCTTGTCAATGTGGGGGAGCATAAAATCATTTTGCTAATTTTGCTAATGTGTCTATATGACTTGTTGTTTCAGATGGTGAAACAGAGAGAGTAGATACAGGACAGTTTAACCATGTGGCATACTGGGAGAGACTGGGTAGGTTCTTTACATTGGAGAATGCCAGCTGACTATTAACTAAATACAGGCAGTGAAAATGAATATTACTCTAAATGACAATTTTTTAAGGAAAAACCTATAAATGTAAATGGCAAGATGATTTTGGAAAAATAGTACAAAATAAGAGAAAAAGCAGTGTATGACATATTTAATTTATATTCTTTTATAAGAATAACTCTTGAAAGGTAATCAAGGGTTTATTGAAAAGACATACTACTGACCAGTCAATCTCCACAGGTTTTGGTCCAAAATCCGTAGTCGGTGCTTTGAGGTCGTTTATGGTGGTCGGAGGGATTGCACTGATGCAGAACTAAACTTTGAACACTTACATTTTTGTTACACAACTCACTTTAATCTACCGCCATGTAGAAGAGATGCATGCTGATGGTAATTTTATCATCACTCATTAAAAAGGGCTTAAAACTCAAACGTTCAGAGATGACGTTTCAATATTTTCACAGAATAGGAATATTATGTATAGTTTTCCATTGTGATTTCAAATAGTTTGTCCTGCATTCAGCCCACAGTTGGAAAGCTTATCTTGCATCATACTTTAGTCTTTTAATACTGAAATGAAATCAAAACTTTAGGGACTGAGAAATTAAGTGTTACCCACAGAACTTTTGATAAATGACAAAATTAAGTGGAACTAATCAGTCCAATCATGGCCAGTAGGTACCCCAAAACAATGTGCAATATACAGATTATTAGTATTAGACCCTTGGATCCAAAGTCTGATGCTCTACCGACTGAGCTGAAGAGGCTTAAGCCACTACAGCTGGACTGTAGTAGCAACTTGCTATGGATCCAGGGGTCCTAGGTTCGATTCCCACACGGGGCATTGAATTTAGCACCCTTTCTTTCAATTTCTTTATCTGGCTTGTTACACTATGCTCGTTAGTTGTTAGTTAATTAGTTATTCCCCTGGGGCGCCCTCGGGTCATTACACTATCTAACAAAGTGAAATGTAATATTGCTGTCATATTGAAACAATCTAGATTGAAGCAATGTAAGATTTCACATTGTTATATTGCAACAATTCAGATTGAAGCAATGTTATATTTCACATTGTTAGATTGCAACAATCCAGATTGAAGCAATGTAAGATTTCACATTGTTAGATTGCAACAATCTAGATTGAAGCAATGTTATATTTCACATTGTTAGATTGCAACAATCCAGATTGAAGCAATGTAAGATTTCACATTGTTATATTGCAACAATTCAGATTGAAGCAATGTTATATTTCACATTGTTAGATTGCAACAATTCAGATTGAAGCAATGTTATATTTCACATTGTTAGATTGCAACAATCCAGATTGAAGCAATGTAAGATTTCACATTGTTAGATTGCAACAATCTAGATTGAAGCAATGTTATATTTCACATTGTTAGATTGCAACAATCCAGATTGAAGCAATGTAAGATTTCACATTGTTATATTGCAACAATTCAGATTGAAGCAATGTTATATTTCACATTGTTAGATTGCAACAATCCAGATTGAAGCAATGTAAGATTTCACATTGTTAGATTGCAACAATCCAGATTGAAGCAATGTAAGATTTCACATTATTATATTACAACAATCCAAATTGAAGCAATTTTAGAATTCACAGTAGTAGGCATTCTGAGATGGCATTCAGATTGCAGATTGCACACATTGCAATAATCTGCACATTGCAACATTGAGAGGAAAAGTCTAAAACAGATTGCAATTCAGCTTGCAAATTGTCAACAATCAATGCAATCTGTAAGGGATTTAACATAGGAGTCAATGGAAAAGCAGCGTGTTTTCAGTTTGCTAGAGGTACCTTCATGGTCATGGTTAAAAACGTCTTCAATTTGCATCCTTTATTTGTATACTGTACTCTATTAAAACTTACTACTTTTATAGGATCATCTGTTTATGAAGAAAACTCAACATTAACGTTTTTGTGCAAAAAAAGTTAAATATTACATTTTTTGAAGGTTATGTTTACTAAATTAAGATTACCTCCCCACAACCAACTGGTTGGTCTTTACTGTTTCTTTTCAAACCCTGCTCTGAGGCTACCTGTGGTCGGTTGTGTCAGATAGGTTGGTCTTTTTCATATACCTGGTAATTGACTACCAAAGCATTAGATGCACCTCCCAACAAAATGATACCAACAAACCTAATATTTCCCAGCAACAAAATAAGGGCTTATGATAGCTCTAATACTTGATAATGGATTGTGTATTGTTTCAGACAAGGTAGTAAAAGCACTTAGTGGAGAATGCACAAAGTTCTGTATGGCATATTCCAAGCCCCCACTGCCCTCCAATCAAGACTGTGAAAGTCTGATCACAAGAGTGCAGAATGCCATACTGGCCTTAGTTTCAGCTTACTATGCCCTTCCAAAGACACAAGGTAAGAAAACAGTCTTACTTAAAGTAGAAGGACAGAATAGAGATTGTAAACTGTTAGGAGCAGTCCTGCCAAAAACCTTGTCAATCATGATTTACTTTTGTTTTAGATATTGTCTTGGATATTTATTATTACTAGTCTATAGGGTTTCATTTTCCATTTTGCCTTCTTAGTCAAATATTATATGTCAATCAAGACTTACATTTCTACTGCATTTCTATTACCTAGGGATCACAGTGCGTAAGCGGACCAAGGAGTTTGTCTATGGTATAGTGGTAGCTGTTAAAGAACTAATAGACACCATTCGCAATGAAGGACCTGATGGGTAAGACATGTAAATGAAATCTAAGTGAGGAAATAGAGCTATCCAAGCAATTACCTTAAAAAAAATATTCATTTACGAAGTTAGATAGGATATCATAATAAATTACGAGGCTCGTTATGGGCATCGTACGGACAAGTACGGGGGTTGAAAATTACGAGCTATTACGGGCCTTGTAATTACAAGCTCTTCCGAAGCTCGAAAATTGCAAGCACTTACGAGACTCGTAACGAGTCCCATACAAGGTTGTACAGGGCCCATTGACTCAACGAGCTCCATACGGGGTTGTACATTTGTACGGGGTCCGTTTATTTTGTTTCCTAGCTTTTAAAGTGTTTATCATGTTGATACAGACATGCCAATATTTTGAAATTATTGAAGACATATTAAAGGCAGAATCTGATTTATAGGGGGTGACAAAATTACAAGCAACATGTATAATTGATCTACCAATCAAATATCAAATACAATATCTCCCAAAACATTCACAATATGTTATAAATTGGTGAAGTTATTAATGATGCAAACTGCAAAAATGATTGAAAAATTCTCCCAAATAATAAGAACGGTCACCATTCTTATAGAAAAATAATACATTAATTTAAAAATCTTAAGTTTTCCCGGAATAAGGTTTTTTTTGTGATTTTTAGAAAATAGACATGACAAGGAATGACATGAGACAAAAATATTCTAAAATTGAAACAATTTTTTGTTTAGCCTGCTAGCTATATCTGATTCTCTCTTTAATTCATAATAAGATATAATTGAAATGTCATTTCTCAAGTATGCTGTATTTTATTTCATTGATCAAAACGTGTTCATCAAAATAAACAAGCAGTTACGAGCCCCATACCGGCAAGTTCAGTGCTCGAAAATTACGAGCCATTACGGGCCTTGTTACGGGCAACGGACAGGCAAGTGCGAGGCTTGAAAATTACGAGCTATGACGGGTCTCATAACAGGCACCGTACGATCAAGTATGTGGATTGAAAACTACGATTTATTACGAGGCTCGTTATGGGCATCGTACGGTCAAGTACGGAGGTTGAAAATTACGAGCTATTACGGGCTTTGTAATTACAAGCTTTTATGAAGCTCGAAAATTGCAAGCAATTACGAGACTCGTAACGAGTCCCATACAAGGTTGTACAGGGCCCGTTGACTCAACGAGCTCCATACGGGCTTGTATGGGGTCCGATTTAATTTGCCTGTGTATTAAAGCTAGAAATGTAGATATTCAAGAAACACATGGAAGCCATCTTGAAAAATGGTGGCCTTTCCATACTATTTTATGATTTTTGCTGTAACTTGAAAAGAAGTGGAGCGATTTTGTTCATATTTGATATGTGAATATTCATGGCACACTGTTTTTATGTCACCACCAAAACTGTTATTTTATAATTTTTGCTATATACTGCAAAAGTAGTAGAGGGATTTTGTGGAAATGGCAGCCATGGCTGTTCGATTGTTTGGTCTAGTTTCGTCTTATTTCAGTCATTTTTGGCTAACATTGTCAGTCTATCATTCTCAGTTGAGGTCAAAATCTAGGCCAAATACAAGACTATGAAAAGTGTCTCTGGAGTGTGTTCCAAGAGATAATGGAAGCCATTGAGTCTTCCACACTTTTACTATACTGCTTTAGATCCCTGATTTAACCACCTTATGTTTAATAGGTCTCAGAAGCAACTGCAGTCTACTGGAGCAGTTTGGGAGAAATGTGAAGAATTCCATGCACTTGCTAAGACAAACCAGCAGGCTGTCCAGGAGGTTGTGCAAGACACTATAGGTCTTGTTAAAGATGCCTTGGAAGAACTAGAAGAGGTATTGTTAGATAAAAGGGTGGGTCACAAAAGGCCCATATTCATTTTGTATTTATTTTTTGTTATATTGTAATTACTGAGTACATGAAGACTTATTAAAGTTAATTGAAAATATAGTTTTTAATTACAAATGTTTGCAATCTCAAGTTATAGTGTGCTAATTTTCTTATTATCTCATTCTTTGAATATTTGATTTTTATCAAGAAAAATGTTTTTGATTACGTGTATTTACATTTCTTTAAGGCAATGCAAGAAGAAACAGAAGGCCGCTGGGGGGACATGGATGATCTACTTGAGGCTGAGGGTCAAATGGCACCTGACAATGAAGACACTTGGACAGATGCTGATAAAACACTCCTGGCTCCCTGCCTTGGACTTGTAAAAGCATCAAAATTAACTCTTAATAAAATCAATGTAGCTGTAAAGACTAATGGTGACTGTTCAACAGAACTAAATATTTCTCAGTTTGATGATTTAGTCGATATCACTAAGACAATTAGTCCAAATGTTGATGATTTTGTGTCAGTGCTGTATGCTCCTATGCAACATTTAACTGTCCGTTTAAACGTAAGTATAAAATGTCAAAAATTCAGCGTCTTTTAAAAGTAAGTTAAATGAAACTGCAAATAGGGATACAGAGATTAGCCACTCGTCCATCTGTCTGCTTGTAAATACTGTGTTTATTCAAATTTGAGTTATACATGTACATGTATGTGAAACCATATATTGCCAAAAGGAAACACTGCCACTGGATCATGAATTGTTCAAATTGAGGAGTCATTTGACAAAATGTGGAGTTTTATGCTGTTTTTCTAGTTCACAAATAATAATCTATTGTATCACATTTCAGGCTGAAAAACTTGCAGTAACAATAAAGAATCTTCTTGAGCTATCGAGGTAAGCTTTTAATGAACTTAAAATGGCCTATTCCAGGATCAGAGGATCATCAGATACAATTCCAAGAGTTAGTTAGCACATTTGGAAATTTTGCTGCTTCAATTTTTGCTGATATGAAATTTCTCAAATTCAAACTTCATTCAAATCACACATACATTGTACTTGTTGGAGATTCTTCAAAATTTGTTGTGCAAAATTTTCAATTTAAAGGTATTAAAAACTTCACATCTGGTTGTACTCATGCGTCATCAACACAGTTTTTGCAGGGTCATATCTTGCCCTTTTCCTGTAAATGTCATCAATTTCTCATTATTTATTCATTTTATAATCTAACTACGTATATATTGAATATGTTATTTTCCAATTGTGTCACTTTCGCTTACCAGTGATCAGCATTGATCAGGTAATCTTGGTCAATCGATGGGATGGCTTCATCCAGAACCTAAAATCATTGAGACATGGCATAGAAACTTTGCCATCATTTGTAAATTGTATTTGCATTCACTGAAGTAATTTATTTTATATCAACCTACTTGGATGTTTGTTCAAAAGACACCTCACATGCTTTTAAAAAGGGTAAGCGATTTCCTTTGTTGTGAGTTATGATTCTAATATTACAGTAATAGTTCACATATTGCAGGCACATGCACATAAATAAAGAAGATGACCAGCACTGGGTAGAGTTTCTACAAACAGCAGCTGCACATAATTTGGAAAAGATTCAAGGATTAACTGACTCTGAGGACATTGTATCACATACAGATACCAATATTACACTGTGAAACTAACTGACAGCACAAAACATTTAGACATACAATTGTTGTACTATTTAATGTATATCTGCCTGTTTCTTCTGGCATTTTATGAAGAAAATGGAAAAACAGAAGGATTTGATTTTTTTGTATATTTGTATACAACATGCAATTAATCTATCAGACCATCCATTCAGTTGCCATTTTTCAGTAATAGATTGTTCAATAAAGTCTGATATACAATCTTTCTTGTACAGGGTGGTCAAAAAAACTGGAAACCCTTACACTGTTTTCCTAATATCTTTGTCATTTTAAGAAATCACTTAACACATTTGTACATCATTCAATTTCCTACCAGCCTACTATATTTCATGACCATCAGATTGATAGTCACAGTGTTACTGCACTTTAAAGAACATTCCTGGTGGCCACTATTGCGGTATAGAGAAACCTGCACATGTCGTCCAAAATGTCCCTACCTATGGGGATATGGCAGAGGTAGAGTGTATAAGAATGACCTCAGGACAATTGCAGTCCTCAAAAGTGATGTCATCTGTATCACTCAGGCCATACCTGCTGAGGAATGCATTTGGGTCATGGACAACTGTGCAGGTTTGCCTACAGCGGGATGATGGCCAAATCTACAGCGTGTTGTTCAAAGTGCTGTAAAATCGTGACTTTAAGTCAGATGGTCATGATATATAGTAGGGTAATAGGAAATTGAATGATTTATAAATGTGTGAAATATCAGGGAATAATTTCTTATAATGCCAAAGATATGAGAAAAATGCAGGGTTTCCATTTTTTGACCACCCTGTATTAGAAATTCTATGATATATTTGCTAAATTTTAGTCTATCTACATGCTCTTGTGACAACCTCCCTCCACACACCCCGACTACATGTGTTCATCCCAACAACCTGTGTGAGAAGGTGTGTAGTCAAATAGAGTAGGAAGGTCACAGGGGCTTGTAGCTAAACTAGCTAAATTGATGATGTCATTGGTTGTAGGTAGAAATCAACGATGCAAAAACAATATTAACCTATTTCCTAATTCTAAGAAGTACAACCTATGACATTATCAAGCTAGAAAATGGCAAAGTTTCTCTGTTATATCAAAAGGTGACAGGATTTATCAGAAAGATCAACATCTGAAATTCAGAATCTAAAAAATCTTTTATCTTCAAACTTCACCAAAATTGATGAAATGTTTTTTCAAATGATAGAACATTATAGTGTTCTGGACAGATTATCTGATACTGGACTAATATGTCTACGGCCAACCCAAACTACTTAGATTTAAATTGACTTCAAATCCTCGTAGGGGACCCCAAAACTTGCAAACAGATTGGTGACAGGTTGCAAATCAGGCTCATTAGTGCCGAGTCAGCAAATTTTATCATTTTCGAGTCCAAGTCATTAAATTGCATTACCATAGAAACTGCATTATCAAACAAACCAGCAGTTTCTATGGTAATGCAATTTAACGAATTCTTTACCTGTAAAATACATGTATTCCATAATGGTCTGTTTGTTCTATTGCTTTAGTCTATGATGCCATAATTATAGGAATAATTTTCAGTTGCTTGAAAAAGATTTAAAGAATAAATCGAAATATTGCAAAACTAAATCAATTTGTTATTATAACATAAAACAACTACTTTTTTCATAAAGATGATTTAAAGATTCTCGCAATCTTTATCCAATCAGCGTTTGCGAGTGTGTCGGCTCACGTATAAAAGGCAAATCCAACTCAAATCCATGCAGGGGTGTATGAGGTACTCGAATAGGAAAGAGCTCGTGAAATCTGAATTTATATGCACATGGTCAATGTTTACACATGTTTGGAGTTATTGAAGAAAATGTGATATGGGTGTGGTTCCGAATTTGAAGTCATTGCTGGAAAATATGATTTTAATACGTGAAATTATATCTATAAATACAGCACTGAAAATAACAGTACACATGAAGTAGATGTATGATTGTGTTCAGAAATGTTTGAAACCCTTACGGAAAATTCTGTCTGCATTTTGTCACCATTGCTCTTTCTTCCCGCATTCTAGTGCTGTTTGAATGAATATATTAATTAATGTATTTCTAACTAAAATATATCACATTTTTTATAAACCACAAACATTTAGATCATAAAAAGATTATTCAATACTTGAGTGAGCACGATATGCAAGGGTTACTAAGTTGACACAGTAAATGACCACTGATATTGTGTTAGTCCTGGCACACAGCGTATTCTGCTAAGGCCATAAGAGTCTTTGCTTTGCGTCCCCTTGCTTGCACGATTTTGAGTAAATCAGAAAAAACAAACACATCAAAATAGCAATCACAAGGGTCTGAAAGTACCATTACATTTCGTTCAAACAGAATCAGACGAAATGGCGGATAATTTGATGTGCGTCAAAATTGACAGTGTTATAATTATTTTGGCATACATTGTGTATTTTCTTATTTTTTACCCTTGAATTTTAAATATATTGTATAAAATGTATAGATATGTGTTTGTAATCACTGCAAATTGGTATGTCATCCCTTTTTATGCCCATAAAATTTATACATTTCTCAGCAAACAAGTTTGTGTTTTTTTCTTGAGTTTGAGTTTGTTTTCCTTGTACCCTTGCATGATTTGGATTTTGCCAGGACGCAAAACAAAGAATCTACTTCTTATGGCCTAATACACATTTGCTAACACCCCCACTTTCAAAGTGAAGTGACTAATTGGTTTATGTTTACGTTTTAATGTGTTTTGGGTTCCTTGTTACAGCAAGGGGGGCCAGTAAAGTAGACTAACATGTTTGCATGGCAAGTTTTGATCGAATATGTGAGACACTTTAAACCAAGTTTTAATTATTGTTTTACAAACTACTGAGTAATATCCACCACTGGTTAACAGGAATATAATACCCATTATGTTGACAAAATCAATGAAAATCCAACAGAGAAAAACAACAAGGTTGCAATATTATTGGAACCTGGCTCATCACATTACCCTATGTCTCTGCATTACCACACATTATATCACATTGTATCAAACAGCACAAAGTAACAGAATAAAAAGGTACGTGTACATGTATAAGGTGTCACTTTGCCACAGTATTGAACATTGGTTTCAAATCTGTTGCTATTTCTGAATCCCTGGGGCATATAACTACATTTTCTACCAAACCAACCATTTATGTGATATTGTAATTTAAACCTGAATATATATATGTACAGGGTGGGCCAAAAAAAACCAATACCCAACTTTGAATCAGGATATAAATATGGTACATTGACTTCTGAATCATTTTAAAGGTATATCATTTTCAAACAATTTGGTATAAAGCACTATGCCATGAAATCAGTAGTAAAGTTTATTATACTTATTTGGGAGGCCAGGTTGCTATTTAGGGTCTCTAGATTTTAGGGAGAAAATAGTAAATCTGTGGGATTATGTTAATTTTTAATTAATATTCAAATTCAAATATACAATCATGTATTCACTTAACAAAATGAAAGGGTATTTTTATGCTTATTTGAAAGGATGGGTTGTTAGTTTAGGGTTTCTGGATTTTAGGGAGAAAATAGTAAATCTGCGGGATTATGTTAATTTTTTTCGGTTTTTTACTCTCAGTCACGCCTATATCTCGTTTTTTTTCGCTTTTAATTACCTGACACCACTCCTGTTTATTGTTTTTTCTCTTTTTTAACATTAAGCCACGCCTCTTTTTCATTTTTTCACCTTTTCCCATTAAGCCACACCCCTTTCTCATTCTTTCGCTTCTAATTACCTTAAGCCGAAATGCTGAAGAACCTTAAAATTTAAGGCTCTCTAGCCAAATGGATTACCAAAATGCTAAAGAGCCTTAAAAGGAGTGGATTGATATGGAGAACTTTTTGAAGACACGTTTCTCTTAAACCAGTCATGAAAAAATCTAAAAATTTATCACATCTTCAATTTAATGGTCATCTTTTCAATGGTATCAACATAATTTGAAATATATATTTTGGGGAGATTTTGTTTTAATTTTTTAAATACTTTTTTAAAATCAACCAAAAATTCCTTTGTATAACTATAATATTGAGAGGTCTAAAAGCATGTTGTATGTAATATTTTGTTCCAACAAGATTCGGAAAGACATTTTACATCATTCCCAAGAATTGGTAGAAAGGAGCAAAAACAATTGCACTAAAAAAACAAAAAATGTTAACAAAAACAGTTATATAAAATATTTCTAAATAAGGCTCTCCAGCCACATTAATTTAACTTTTTGTTTTATTATTTTTATATGTCTCTGTTATATTCTATCATCCAATTCTGTAATTATTAATTGTAACTCGTGCAAATTTTGGAAAACAACACCTTCAAGGAATGGTCATTCCACATTGGACATTGTCCAGGGTTACTATATTTGCACATAGCCATCTTTAGATATCTCTCTGGAGATAGCTTTGTGCAAACTAAGACCAGGGAATCAATAAACTGCATATAATTAGATAGATGTCGCACATGTAAAAATATTGAGTCATGTCATGTGACCTGCGATAGAATGCTAAAATGGCGGAGGGATTTTTAAAAGTTACCAAACACTTATTTGTTTTATCTGTTTTTATGGTGATTTCGACGTATTCCCCGATATATGCTAAAGGAGTAAATGGAGGCATACAATGTGCAAGTAAGTGTGACTAGTTTATTGATTGAAATTACACGACTTCACAGTAATTAGATCTATATCAATCCAGTCAAGTCCTTTTTCAAAATTTTTCAAGTTTTCATGAGCCTGTTACAAGACTTATGACTGGCACAACCGTCACCATGTTATTAAGCGTTTTTAAGTTTTGCAAGGATCCTGCCATGACCGTGGTAGTGTTATCGTGATAGCCTGATATAACCGTGAGAATGCTATATTATATTGCATGGCCTGATAGTAATCTGAGGCCTTGGTACAGTTGGGGACAAAAATAAATGACAGGTCGATTTTCGATCACCATTTCCTAATTATGGTGGTCTGAAAGCCCATAATTTCCAATATTGTCTAGATATATATCCCTTAAAATTTGTATATTTTACATTTTGTATAATCTCATCCACTGATGTATGGCCTCTTGTAAATTCTCTTATTTTTAACATGGGAAATCCTCACTTCAGCAAATCCACTTGTCATTTATTTATCTCCCCAACTGTATACGTTATAAAATGTTAAAAAATCCCCCAGTGTACTTATGTTGGTAATGCCTAGTATATGTGTTAATATACTCTTTTACTATCTTAGCTACTTACTCATGCAAATGAGGGAATAAGATGTAACAAAACAAGATAGATGTAAAACACAAGAAACTTTATTTTACTGTATACCCGGGCCTCAGGTAGTAATGTTAAAGCCTGATATGACCATAACAATGCTATACTATATTGCAAGGCCTGATATGACAGTGGTAGTAGTAATGTTAAAGCCTGATATGACCGTGACAATGGTTCCAAGGCCTGTCATGACCATGGTAATCAGGCCCGTAAGACACTTTTCTCCAAGGGGGGTGCGGTTTTTTGCTTAAGAGAATATGAAATTGTCATTTTTTGCCGCGTAAATCAAATCGCGTAAGACAGAGGGGGGGGGGGGGGTCAGTTACTCCCTGTATTGGTTTGGAATTAACAAATGCATGCAACTTCCAAACATTCCAATTGTTTTGTGGGGGGTGTGAGGAGTTGTCCACTCCCCCTAGAGAATTTTATAGTTTTGAGATGCTATTTGGTGCTTTCTGGGCACTTTCAAAGTGTAAGTTTCTAAGTAGTACGCCACCACCACGGGAATAAGAGTTGAGTGAATAAAAAACGGAGCATTCAGGGGGATCTGGGGGTTCTCCCCCAGGAAAATTTTGAAATTTGGTTGTATTTTGAGCGAATTTGCAACCATCTGGTACGCCTGTGCGTTATGAGTCAATAAGAAAAATGTGAATTTTTTTCAAATTCTTTTGGGGGTGTCAAAGAGGATGAGAGGATGAAGTGGGGTGGGGTGGGGTGCCAGTAGGGGAGCAAGGGGTTGTCCCCCAGAAACATTGACCATATCAAGGTGCTATTTGATGATGTCTGGGCACTTAAAAAATATCTGAGACAATACATGAAATTCAGAATATTTTCTTTTGTTTTGTGGGGGATGTGAGGGGTGGCTAACTCTCCTAGAAAAATTTACAATTTAAAGATGATATTTGGTGCTTCTGGGCACTTTTAAAGTAGTCAATAAAAACATTGAAAAACAATCACAATTTTTTTCAAATTTTGGGGTTGTCAAAGGGGGGGGGGGGAGGGGTGCCAGAGGGGGAGGTGGGGCTGGGGTACCAGAGGGGGAGCAAGTGTTTGTCCCCCATATCAAAATTTACAATATCAAGGTGCTATTCGATGAAGTTTGGGCACTTAAAAATTGTCTGTGCCTAAAAGTGCCTATTTCCCAAGAAAATTTTAAAATTTTAAGATGCTATTTGGTGCTTTCTGGGCACTTTCAAAGGGTATGAGTCAACCAAAAAATTTGAAAAATCTCAATTTCTTTTTTTGGGGGGGGGGGGGGTGTTAAGGGAGGGGGGCTGCCAGAGGGGGAGGTGCAGTGGGGATGCCAGAGGGCGAGTAAGTGTTAGTCTTCCAGAATCATTCACTTTATCAAGGAGCTATTTGAAGATGTCTAGGCAATTTAAAAGTGTCTGAGACAATACATAAAACAAATTCAGAACTTTTCCATTTTTTTGTTTGGGGTGTGAGGGGTGAACCACTCCCCCTAGAAAATTTTACAATTTTACGACGCTATTTGGTGCTTTCTGGGCACTTTCAAAGTGGATGTGTCAATTAAAGAATTTGAGAAAATCACAATTTTTTTTTTTGGGGGGGGGGGGATCAAGGGGGGGGGGCGTCAAAGGGGGGAGGGTTATGCAAGTGCAAGATGCAAGATCGGAGGAGTAAGTCCCCCAGAAACACTCACTATATCAAGGAGCTATTTGATGATATCTGGGCACTTTAAAAGTGTCTGAGACAAAACTCTAAAATAAATTTAGAACTTTTCCATTGTTTTATGGGGGGTGTGAGGGGTGGCCAATACCCCTAGAAAATTTTACAATTTTAAGATGCTATTTGGTGCTTTCTGGGTACTTTCAAAGTGTATGAGTCAATGAAAAAAAAAATTACAAAAAAAAATATTTTTCAAAAAAAAAATAAAAAAAAAATTCTAATTTATTTTGGGGGGTGACAAAGGGGGGTGCGGTCGCACCCATCGCACCCCCCCATCTGACGGCCCTGGTAATGTTAAAGCCTGATATGACTTTGACAATGGTTGCAAGGCCCCAGGCCCTGTGACAGGCTGAGGCCCATTCATGACTGTGGTAATGTTAATGAAAAGAACAAAATGGGTAAAATCGAATTGTATAAATATTTAGTCTTTTACACATAACATAGGCATAGCCAACAAAAATAGAACCATTACACCATTAGATAAAAGAAGAAAAGCTTTATAAATGCTTTTTATTTGAAGCACCCCAACCATCCCCCCCCCTTGACTGAAAACCTTTTTTTTACAATCTCAGCCCCAGCCCCCGCCCTTGCTGAAAGCTGGCTACTCCCCTGCTTAAGGTTCAGCTGGAAAGTAACATTATGGTAAAAAATTGCTATACCTATCAGAATTTCCTGGAGTTCCCATTGAACTCCTACTAGATATTCTTAAAGAAGACAATGTAATGATACTTTCCTGAAAAAAGCAAGGCAATTGACACATGTCTTCATACTTTATTTTGTACCAGAAAATAACATGTGCTGGTATAGCAATTTTTTACCAAAATTGCTTTCCAGCTGTACCTTAACATGGTTGATCTTTACACTTTTTCCTCAATCGCGGGGCTATACCTGTGGAAAACACTGATTGGGGAAATAGGTTGGGTCATTCTTTTTTGTAAACCCAACATCCTAAAAAGAGGAGATATCATATTTTTCATTACTTCAGATGGGAATGTTTTTGACGAATGTTGCAGAAAAAGATTTCTCTCTCAAAATCTCATTCTGTCAGGGTATGATTGTATTTCTGTACCAATTATCTACATGTATTTCATTATATACTTCTTCATTGTTGTTTTTGATCAATTGAGATGACTAGGAAGTTGTTCTTTCAATTTAGAAATTGATTTACAGTTGGTCCCCTTCCCTGTTATGTTTTAGATACAAAACTTATGTTTCAGATAAACTACATCGAGGAACTAGGAAGTTGTATGGAGTAAACTTTTGCCTTTAGTCTAATTGAGTTTCAGTTTGGTTTTTGGTTTCAGCCAGGATATTTTTTTTAGAAAATAACAAAACTTATGCTTCAGATAAACTACGGTACATCGAGGAACTAGAAAGTTGTATGGAGTAAACTTTTGCCTTTTAGTCTAATTGAGTTTCAGTTTTGTTTTTAGTTTCAGCCAGGATATTTTTTAGAAAATAACAAAACTTATGCTTCAGATAAACTACATCGAGGAACTAGGAAGTTGTATGGAGTAAACTTTTGCCTTTTAGTCTAATTGAGTTTCAGTTTTGTTTTTAGTTTCAGCCAGGATATTTTTTAGAAAATAACAAAACTTATGCTTCAGATAAACTACATCGGGGAACTAGGAAGTTGTATGGAGTAAACTTTTGCCTTTAGTCTGAGTTTCAGTTTTGTTTTTAGTTTCAGCCAGGATATTTTTTTAGAAAATAACATCGAGAAACCACAGAGATATCTATATCTTTACAAACAAATTTTTTAAATCTCTTAAAGCAAATCTTGTCAAATTTATGGTAGCAATTGCTAAAAGTGATTTTCAGAAATTTGATGTTAACCTGTCATATTTATTGTAGCCTGTACAGTGGTAGTGACCCTCACAGAGCAACTAGCCCAAGTCCACAATGACTCAGTAGCACAAGCCCTTGCAAGGCTCTGCAGCTATATGCCCCAAGGACAACTCCAATATGCTTGTAAAATCATCATTGAAACCTTAGGCCCTGTTGTTATAGACATGTGAGTAAATATAGCCAACTAAATCTGCGATTTGACCTTCAATGACCTTCTCAACTTGCTTCAAATTGACCAATTTTTTCAAAAACATCTCCAAGTTCTCCGAAATTCAAATCTGATCTTTTTTCGGACTAATTGTCCTTCAATGACCTTTTCAAGGTTAAAAAGGTCAAAAAGGTCTTTTTTCAACTTGCCTCAAATTGACCATTTTTAAAAATTATCTTCAGTTCTCAGAAGTTCAAATCTGACTAATATTGTGAGCAACTAAGTGGTGACATTTCGTCATGTTTATGCCTTGTCTATTTTTTTTATTCAGGAGCATTCATCATATAAATACAAATTTATTTGAAAAATTATGTTTATGTGAACAATGAAATTAAAATGATCTAAGATTTTAAGATGTGTAAAATCCTTATTTGTTCTCTTAGGGATATATTCCAAAACCTGCATTTTAGGGTATTCACTCTTTTTGTAGGCTTGAGAAACATGAGACCCCAGATGTTATATGTCATGCTCTACACCTATGTACTGTAGATGAGGGTCAGCCACAGTGTCACCTTTTTCCAGTGCCAAAGGTATGATGACCATGCACACACTGATTATTAGGTGGAACATAAGTGAAGGGGTCTCACTTAGATATATTAGGCAAATGTAGTTATTTAGAGCTAAAAATTCATAAACATATTATACTGCATTAAAAGTCTTTCCAAATTAGGAAATTTCAGTTTGGTTTACTTGAAAGTGGAAAAAGCTACACAGCTAGGCAAAAATGTAAAAACAAACCATGAGTGTCAAATGAAAAACAGATGATTTGAAAACAATTGTAATAACCACGACCAACAGACCATTGCATTAACAGATATTGTCAGTAAGAAGCTTCTGTGTTTTAGGATGTTTCAATACAAGACAGAGCCATGAAATATTCAAACTATGGTACCAGTGGCCTAGCTTGGAAGGTATGTGTTGTTAAAGGTTGTTTATAGAAATATAATTCTTCAGAAATTACAAAACTGATTTTTGTCCAGTTGCATATATAAGGACTTCAGACATTAAAAAAATATGCATGGAGGAAAATCTGCATTTAGGGAAAGCATAGTTCATCACAATCACTTGGAATTTATTTTGTTTTCACTAGAATAAAGATTCATAACTATGTATTAAGAGACAAAACTTTATGAAGATACAAGCAGCACCATACAATACTACTGTAAGTGTTGTTAAAGGTTGAGTAAGTAGTGCAGAGATGTATCCAATGATCATGGACCTAGTGTCAAAATATATCAAAGTTTGGATACTTTCATCAAATTACATCAAGGCTAACATCTATTATTATTAGCTACAAAAAAAAACCAGAATGTACTTTATTTCTGCGGATATTCACAATCAAATCAACCTAAATCCCTGGGAATGTTTCTAAATCAAATAATATATTTTGCATAAATATCAGTCATTTAGTGCCAGTTTCAGCTTCACAGGTTAAATAAATAACATGACCCTTTATTCTAGCATAGGAGGAAGGAACCATTCTCTGTGTGCAAGCTACCAGGAATAAAGATATTGTGTGATTGGATTGAAAGGTAGGTGCTTAAAACAGCTGTATGACTTCACTATGTCCCTCCAAGATGCATGTCATCATATATGTTAAAAATCAAAAACTCAGTAGTATCCGTTTGATTTAGACATTTTTGAAGATATTTTGCCCAAAACTTCATTGCAGAATATATTTTTGTTGAACTCACTGTCTAAAAACGAGTCCAAAACAGGCCACTGTTTATGTGGTTTCAAGTTCACTCTTATCTCATACATTGTGAAGTTCAATATTGTGCATCATCATAGATCTCTAGTGTCAATAAAACCTTTACACTCAAACATTTGTTTAAATGAAAGTAGTATATGTACATAGTAACATGTAGATAAAGACATGAAATGTACAATATGAGCTGTAAACTTTCGCGCCATCTTTCACAGCATTCATCAGTCATTGTCATTGTGTACAAATGTTGAGATTGTGAAATAACATAGTCAATTTCATTACAGAGATTTTGTTAATAGAGAATGTAACAAGAAAAACATGACAAACCAATTTCGAAAATGTCATTATTTGGTTGATTGTAGTTGGTGTTTTGTCGTTATCTCCTAATAATTTATCATTTTCAAAATTGCTCTCATCTTAGGTCAAGATAGAAGTATACTGACTTTCCAAAGATCATTTTAGGTCAGAGTTCATTTTCAAAGAATTTTCTATTTCAAAATCTACTCCATAAAAAAGAACTTATTTCAATTAAAAAAAATTATCAACTTTATACCCGGCAAGCTATGTGTCATAATGGTGTGATATTAGTGCCTTATTCCAAAGACATTCTTACCTGTCAAGAATGTGTCTCAAAAGTTTCATTAATAATAAAACGATAACAATGCTATAATATGGATGATTAATCAAATCAAATGATTTCCAATCAGTAATTCAAATTTTACACACAGTATATATTCAGTGATATAATTCACAAGTGAAATTCATCAGATTTGTCTCATGATGAGAAAGGAGAAATTGCTTTGATATAAATACATGAAATATGATACAGGACGGGGTAATTCCTCTTTCTATATATTCCATATGATTTTTGTATGTGGGTTGTATTAAAACCCTGGAGCTAATCATTTCTCCTTATTACCCCAGTTGCTCAACAAATACTGATTCAACAAAAGGAGAGTGTTGTGCATGTTCAAATGATGTCTTTTATATTGTAGAATATTTGATGATCACAACCCAGCTCTAGATATTGATGGTGACAATTTCAGTACATTTCAGGTAAATCATCATCATTTATAAATGGGCACCCTTTGCATGGATCAGTGCATTAATTAGTAATTCTCCAGCCATTGCTGTTGCATCAGGACATTGATCACATCAGCTTTAAAGTCTGCCTAGTTTCAACTTAAGAAACTCAATTCAAGCAAACATGAAAAGTCCACACCATACTCTGTGATACAGAATTTATGGTGAAGAATGAATGAAACAATGAAAAAACAAGCAATGAACAGTCACTTTTATTGATTTAATCATTTAAAACATCAAACAAAAATGAAAATTAGGCTGATAATGTAAGCGTTTACCTTCCGAGTCATAGTGTGTAATTCTCATATTTTAAATGTTTATCTTAAGATGGATGTTCAAGTTCATACATTTAAATAGTTATCCTTGTTTATTTAGCATATGTAACCCCTTGTAATCCTAATGAACCAGTGAAAATTTTTTCCTTATCATAGGGACAAATAGTTGTCTTGTAATTTTTTAACTATGCTGTCTGTGTTGCAGACATTACGTGGGTCATCTTGGAGGGGTAAGGACTGCAATGACGAGCAAGAGAACATCCATCCTGGGGCTAAACCCGAGTTAGGGGATGTATTCCATGACACAAACTGTAATGGCATTTATGTAGGTCACCTTTAAGAATATCACATGATTGATGATAGGTCAATGTCATAATGGTCTCAGTGATGCTATTACACTGGTGCAAGGGTCATATTTATGTCAGTGATGTCATTATAATGGTGCAATGGTCATGTTTGTGTCAGTGATGACATAATAATGGTGCAAGAATCATATTTGTGTCATTGATGTTATAATAATGTTACAAAGCTCATGTTTGTGTCAGTGATGTCATAATTATGGTGCAAGGATTATATTAGCGTCAGTGATGTAATAATAGTGGTGCAACGGTCATATTTGTGTCAGTAATGAAATAATAATGGTGCAAGGGTCATGTTTTTGTCAGGGATTTCATAATAATGGTGCAAAGATCAGATTTGTGTCAGTGATGTCATAACAGTTGTGAAAGGATCATGTTCATGTCAGTGATGTCATTACAATTTTGCAAGGATCATATTCATTTCATTGATGTCATTACAATGGTCCAAGGATCCTACTCATTTCAGTGATGTCATAACAAGGATCATATTCATATCAGTGATGTCATTACAATGGTGTAAGGATGATATCTGTGTCATTCATATAATTACAATGATGCAAGGAACATATTTGAGTCAGTGATGTCATTACAATGGTGCAAAGATCATATTTGTGCCAGTGATGTCATAACAATAGTGCAAGGAACATATTTATGTTAGTGATGTCATAACAATAGTGCAAGGATCATATTTGTGTCATTGATGCCACTACAATGGTGCAAGGAACATATTTGTGTTAGCGATGTCATTACAATAATGTTAGGATCATATATGTGTTAGTGGTGCCATTACAATGGTGCATGGAACATATTTGTGTTAGTGGTGCCATTACAATGGTGCATGGAACATATTTTTGTTAGTGATGTTATTTATAATGGTGCAAGGATCATATTTGTGTCAGTGATGTCATAACAATAGTGCAAGGAACATATTTGTGTAAAGGATGTCATTATAATGGTGCAAGGATCATATTTGTGTCATTGATGCCACTACAATGGTGCAAGGAATATATTTTGTGTTAGTTATGTCATTAATGGTGTTAGGCTCATTTAAGTGTCAGTGATGTGATTGCAATGGTGCAAGGGTCATATTTGTGTTATCTATTCTCTGTCCTTTGAAGCCAGTAAAAATTTCATATTCAACTTCATTCTTTAGCTATCTAAATAAGGTTTCATGACATTTCAGTGAGTTGTATGTAAAATAGTTATTAGAATCTCATTTTTGAATGGTTATCATTTTTGCTGACCTTTAGACTTTTTGGTTATAACTGAAATACTAAAATGATGAATATAACATTTTCTAGGGAGTTGATGGGAATACTGGTTTACCCTATGAAGACCTATATTGCAAAGATAGTCAGCCAATAGGTGTAGCTGCGATTGGGGACTCTGTGACGGCACATTTTCACATTCCTCCAGAATGGCTTGAGGCAGAGAAATTAAATGTAGAAATGTTGCGCTATCTGCCATTTTGGCTTGAAAATGAACTTGATTGGCCACATCTATCAGGAACAACAGGTACTAAGCTCAGCTTTGTATTGACAACACCCTTTAGGTCATTCTGTTTTTTTAATAAGTCATAGAATTTATTAGCCTAATTATATAAGTTATAGGAAAAGGATGCAATTTAAACAGTAACTTAATAGAAATTCTGATCCCAGGAAATTGAAAGGCAAATGTTTCAATGAATATAAATATTTATTATATACCCAATATGTAACACTAATCCTGATTGGTCAATACCTAGTCACGTGTTCCGAAATAGATTTACTATTTCCCTCGGAAAGTTATATTCCCTCAAATGTGACGTCAGCGGGAATATACATTTGAACTATTGCCCGCTGACGTCACGATTGCAACTCCTATTACCCTTGGAAACGTCTGCGCATCATCACTGCGCAGAGGAAAAACAGAATGGAGGATGAGCACAAACACAAATCAACTCCGTTCACCATGACAGACGTGCGTGAACGATACAATATAAGCAACGTGAATAAAGTTCCCTAAGCTCAATACGTCTGCGTAATTTCAAGTGTTATGATAATCTATTCCGCGTGTTAAACGCGATTGAATTTGTCAAGTGAGAGTCTCAGAGGCAAAAATTTCTGTTGAGCATCTGATGACGTCACAGCTTATAATGCTAACAATGGACCCGGGGAGGGGGCTTTCTAAGCCTTTTTGGCCTTCGCAGAGGAAACGGGACAAGAGTCAGTATAGGGTATATAATAAAACAAATAGTGACTGCCTAATTTCGAGCAATAGTGTAAATGATTTCCCCTTGGGAATATCCTCTACAATGTACTATTCCCGAAGCCGCAGTCACTATTTGTATAATGTTTGTAAAGTGTACTGTTTCAGGATTCATGAATGACACAACAGGAAGAATTGAAGGGTCAACAGACTCCATCTATCTGCAGATGAGGAAACGTAATCGCTGTAATCACCGTGACTACCAGAACCTGGGAGTAAATGGAGGCAGATCTGGTAGCACACTGAACAATGAAAATGCCCTTGCTAGAGACAAACTAAAGGATAACCCATTACTTGTCTTCTATGCACTGGTGGGGAATGATGTTTGTAATGGGTAAGTATGGGTAAATATCATTTAGATGTGGCATCAGCTTATTAATGAAGATTTTATTATCACACCATTGTTTATCGACAACCTTCAAAATGTGATTTTAGTGCCTCACTTCTAAGATTAAAACTGAAAAAGAAAACTCTACTTCTTTCTTTTAATTTAGCTTTTAGTAGTCTTTTCCATTTTTGGCCATAATGTTATTTCAGTCCCCCCCCCCTGTAAAATGACTTATCCATGTAAGCTCAATGTGTGTAGATATATGTGTTTATTTCAGGCATTCTGATACTCTGGCACATATGACATCACCAGAGGAGATGAGGAAAAACTTCCTTAAAACATTAAAATTTTTGGTAAGACAGAATTAAAAATGGTGAAAACTAAGAATTTGAGAATTCAAAATGGCTGCCAAGAGGATGAAGTGGCTATTACTTAAAGTATTCCTATGTTATATATGATCTCAAATGTGGAATTAACATTTAATTATGCCAGCTCATGATGTTATTCATATAAAGAAAATTTCTTAAGACGCTTTGGCAAAGTTCTGTTATTCCAAACTGTACAACAGCTTTATTTTCCAGGATGCCAAAGTGCCAAATGGCAGCCACCTTATAGTAATAGGCTTAGCTGATGGCAGTCTGTTGTATGATAACCTAAAGAATAGAGTGCATCCCCTTGGTAAACTTTGGGGCAATGTAAAATACCCACAGTTCTATGACTGGTTTAATTGTCTACAGGTATGACTGATCTCAGACTAATCTATATTAACCCACATTAAAGGTCAATGGTTGAATATACTGTATAATTATATTACATACAAATCTTAGGTTAATAAAAGTATGAATAGAAATAGGGTTCATGACATGTTCATCAACAAAAAATGTATAATCTGTGTACAACATTTAACATAATTTCATGTTATTTTAATTACCCGAGAAATGTAGTTTACCTTCTATTTTACCCATGCTTAGAAATGTTCTCTTTCGCACATGTATGCCATTCAGCATGTTTCATTTATTGTAGGTGACATAGCATGTTTCATGTATTTTAGGTGTCATACAGTATGTTTCATGTATTGTAGGTGCCATACAACATGTTTCATGTATTGTAGGTGCCATACAGCATGTTTCATGTATTGTAGGTGCCATACAGCATGTTTCATGTATTTTAGGTGTCATACAGTATGTTTCATGTATTGTAGGTGCCATACAGCATGTTTCATGTATTGTAGTTGCCATACAGCATGTTTCATGTATTCTAGGTGCCATAAAGCATGTTTCATGTATTCTAGGTGCCATACAGCATGTTTCATGTATTTTAAGTGCCATACAGCATGTTTCATGCATTGTAGGTGCCTAACAGCATGTTTCATGTATTGTAGGTGCCTAACAGCATGTTTCATGTATTGTAGGTGCCTAACAGCACGTTTCATGTATTGTAGGTGCCTAACAGCATGTTTCATGTATTGTAGGTGCCTAATAGCATGTTTTGTGTATTGTAGGTGCCATACAGCATGTTGTTGTGTATTGTTAGTGCCATGCAGCATGTTTCATGTATTGTAGGTGCCATCTAGTATGTTGTTGTGTATTGTAGGTGCCATGCAGCATGCGTTTGTGTATTGTAGGTGCGAACAGCATGCTTCATGTATTGTAGGTGCCATACAGCATGTTTTGTATATTAGATGCAATATAGCATGTTTCATGTATTGTAGGTGCCATCCAGTATGTTTTTGTGTATTGTAGGTGCCATGCAGCATGCTTTTGTGTATTCTAGGTGCGAGCAGCATGTTTCATGAATTGTAGGTGCCATCCAGTTTTTGTGTATTGTAGGTGCCATGCAGCATGTTTTTGTGTATTGTAGGTGCCAGATAGCATGTTATGTATTTTAGGTGCCATGCAGCATGTTGTTGTGTAATGTAGGTGCCATACAGCATGTTTTGTGTATTTTATGTGACATACATCATGTATTATGAATTGTAGGTACATGTTGTGTATTGTTTTAGGTAACCCCATGTGCAGGATGGATGAACTCAAATGCAACCATCAGAAATGGCACAACAAAGGTAACTCACTCTCATCACAGGGAGCATTATTTAGATGATGGTGGTTGGCCATCTAGATACAACCTGACCATTCTAAATTATGATTAATTTATACAAAAACTTTGAACACATGCTCCCATGGGCTGGTATTGAAAGATTTGTCTGCTTTGACATAGTATGCTATTTTTCATAAAAACACTAAGAATACTTCACAATTTATTATTTAACTCTATTCATATGTTTCATTATATCTCTTGAACTTTTTTGAGTGGGGGATGGGTACTTATTAGAGAGTTGGCAGTAAATTACAGAAAATATGGTACATATATAAGTGAGGGACCAAAAGGGCATAAATCCTGACTCATCCTTGGGTATCTAAGATATGGAACTATTTTCAGAGGGCCAGAGAACTGAGTCAGGTGCTAAAGTCAGTTGTTGCAGAAACCAAAGGAAAACTCAGGAACTTTGATGCTAGTTATCTAGACTGCCCTATTGGACCAGGTAAATACACACACACATCAATTCTATTGATCTAAGTGAATCAATCTGTTGTTAAATAATGCATACCTGCCAACCTAAGACCAAAATTTTGCGGTAGATTTTTTTTAAATTGCTGTATTTTTGCGATGGATTTTTTCAAAATGCGGTAGATTTTACGGTATTTTTCAACAAAAATGTGGTAGTTTTTGCGGTAGATTTTTTAAAAAAACGGTAGTTTTGCGGAAGATTCTGAAAAAATGCGGTAGTTTTACGGTAGATTTTGAAAAAATGCGGTAGTTTTAACGGTAGTTTTTTGAAAAACTGGTAGTTTTGTGGAAGATTTTGAAAAAAATGCTGTAGTTTTACGGTAGATTTTGAAAAATGCGGTAGTTTTTGCGGTAGATTTTAAAAAACTAGTTTTGCGGAAAAATTTGAAAAAATGCAGTAGTTTTGCGGTAGATTTTGAAAAAATGCGATAGTTTTTGCGGTAGATTTCTAAAAAACTAATGAATAAAACAGTATGTTTACCCTGTTATCATACCAAACTAGTTCTCACTACGTTCTCGAAAACGGGCTTAAACTGTGCACGAACGGATTTGACGTACTAAGAACCCACTAAGAACCGTTTGGGATCTGTTACAAACTTCATGAAACTACTCGAACGAGTAGGTCCTCCAGAACTTAGAGCATGCTCAAAATTTTCTGGTGATCGTCACGTTCTGCAATAGCACGAGTGATAACGTACTTAAGACGACCTGGACGCACTGGGGACACACTACGAACGGAAGTGTCGTACTTCAATCCTACTAGGGACGTATTACGACGTTGTGTAGTCAGGCGTAAATTGCAGCCGTGAGTACCCCAATCTAGTCCGTTTGTAGCTCGTTCATTCTGTTCGTAGACAGACCCAACTCGACCGAATAAAAATAAATGCGTTCTGCTGTGTAGGGACACGATGTTTACTATTTTAGAATGAGTTCAACCGTATGAAAATTTGGTGGATAATTCAGTAACATATTAGGACGTATTGAGAACAAGGTACAACTAATTGTCAACTGGTTTAAACTGATTAAGGACGTAATTGAACTGCTTGGTTACATTGTGTAGACCAGACGAACGCACAATTTAACCCCATCTAAACTTGATACCAACGTACTGTAGACGGAATAAAGACGAGATGAACGTATTAAAAACTGCTTATGAACAAATTAACAAAAATAGCTATCACACCAGAACCATTTGTCTCTGCGTTCTGCAAAACGTTGCCGAATCGGTTTTAAACTGTGTGCGAACTGAATGAACGTAGCTACAACGTTCTACGGTCTGTTTACGAACTTCATGGACTTTCCAGGATGGGGAATGTGATTTAGAATTTTGAATCGAATCAATATCCTGCCGATACCTTATATTCGGTTTGGTATTTTATTACAGGGACAGTACAGAAAGACTTCAATTTTAAGCATTTCCAAACAAAACGGGAGATTTTACGGTAGTTTGAACAAAAATACTGTTGATTTTAGCAGAAATACGGTAGATTTTCAAAAATTTACGGTAGATTTTCAAAAATTTACGGTAGATTTTACGGCCATTCTCATGGAAAAAAAGAGTTTTTTATAAAAAAAAATTTACGGTAGATTTCGGAAAAAATACGGTAGATTTTTTACGGACGTTTTTACGGGAAAAAATGGCATTTTCTTACGGTAGTTTGTCATTTTTTTACGGAAAAACGAAAAATTTACGGTAGATTCCCGTAAAAATATGGTAGGTTGGCAGGTATGTAATGGTACTATGTTCTATTATGTTTCAGTCCTAGATGCCTGGAAAGCTCAAGGTGGAGAGGGGTGGCAACTAATTGAACCTGTTGATGGATTCCATATTAACCAGGTTAGCTCTAGTGCAATGAATCAACAATTCAAACAAGTTATAACTCTAAAGCCCAATGCGAGTAATTATAACTATCCTCTTGCTAGGATAGACTAATTTACAGTTTTGATGCTGAATTCTTCTTTGATATTTACTTCTTCTTTCAGTCATACTTTTTCATATATCCCATATCAAAAATAAATGTTAGCCAGCTATTTCTAAGAAATTCTGAGTGTATAGGCCTAATCTGATTGATTATTCGTAGGATTATCTTTTACTCAATGTAGATAAATCTCTATTTCATTCATTGACTCATTTGAAACACATGCATCAAACTCAAACTTTCCAGTATGCAATTTGTGGAAGTCCTCTCTGTTTCATCTTGTTGTATTATTTGTTCTTTCTATTTCAGATTGCTCACAAATTGACTGCTGAATACACTTGGAACTACCTTGAGAAGAACCTACCTCACTTTATTGGCAACATCAATCCCCACAATGCTGAGATTATAAAGAAATTTGGGGAACAAGGAGGTCACTTATGATTACTTGGCTGTTGGACGTTTTACCTCACACTCATAGATTTTAAAAATTCCATATTCAAAATCAGTAGAAATCCAGAAAGAATATGCTTATGCACTGTCTTAAGAAGTGCACTTTACTTAGTGTTTCGATTGTGCAGCCTAATGCACAGCATTATGTCATAAATGCACAATGTCAGTATTTAGACAAACTATTTATAGTTGAATGCACACTTGTCAGTTTTTACATGAACTATTAATCTTATTCAATTGTCAGTATTTACATGAACTATTTACATGTTTTTGTGTAGTGTCTTTAACAAATGGTTACACAAAGTAACAATTACAACCATGTGATGAATTTTGTATTTTAATGCCTTATAACAATTCAATATTATTTTATCTTGATATTTTTAATGTCTTATGCAGTGTTTACAAATTATCTGTAAATAAAGAAATTCTCATTATTTTTATAAAATATAATGTGTTATTAATGTTCTATGTGGGTCAGTAAGTGAAGTATATGGAATGACGTTCACTCGGCTAGCGTGCGAAGATGGTGTGTTTCACAATAAGACCATTTTTCGAGATATTTTGCCAAAACACTTAAACGGCTCCAATTACCTACCATATGATTTCAAGTAAATCAATGCAATACTTAAGATTTATAAAGCAAAGGTATATTTCAAAAGAGCTGACCATTAATAAACCTGTACTGCATATTTTTTCAAAACTTAAACATTTTCAGTTTATAAAATAAAACAACTGTCAAGTTCAAGCAAACTGACTGTGGCCATAAAGAGCTGAAACTATGATTATTCAGCAATGAAAGTTGCAGCCATTTCAACCATATAAGTGTTGGCCATTTTGAAGACATACGGGGTGGTCAAAAATGGAAACCCTGCTACTACTTTACTCATATCTTTGTCATTTTTAGGATTTATTCCCTGATATTGGGCACTTTTGTACATCATTCAATTTGTCCAAAATGTCCCCACCTGTTGGGATATGCTAAAGATAAGAGTGTTAAGCATGACCCACGGACAATTGCAAACACTAACTAATGGTGTCATCGAGGCCATACCTACTGAGAAATACAGTCAAATCATTGACAACTTTGGGTCTAGTATGCAGGTTCTCCTAGAGCGTGATGATAGCCACACCAGGGGCATGTTCAAAGTGCTGTAACATTGTGACTATCGTTCTGATGGTCATGAAATATGATAGGCTGGTATAAAATTGAATGATGTACACATGTACCAATACACATGTATCGGGGAGTAATTCCATTTTTTGACTACCCTGTATTTTGCAGAAACTTGTAGACATTATTGTTAACCTATATAAAATAAGATTCCTGCAGCAGATACCATTTATAGAATACTTGTGGAGTTTTGACTAAAACCAAGAAACCCTTTTCAATAAAAAAGTCGCCATTTTGAAATGAGGCAAGCTTTTAATGGAACATTTGATGGAACATTTGAAACTTTATATTGAAACATTTATGAAGTCATTAAGTTTGAATTATGAAGGATTACAAAATTGCCAACAATGTGATAACAGAAAGATAGATGAACAGACAAGTGGGTGAAAATAAAAGCTCACCAAGTGAGACAAAAGTGGCCATTAATCTTTTCAAGCAAGATCCTACCTACATAAGGTATGAATTTGAATTATCCAGACACATAAACAGACAAATTGATGGTTTTTTACATCTCTGCTCAAATTTTAGTTGGATATTTAAAGGTATCTCATAATTACTAAAACCAAAGCCACTGAATACAACTTTTATACCCTGTGATAGGGTGGCTCATTCCATACTAACATGTCTTCCCTTGGATATAAACAGAGAATAGAAGCGATGTTCAAATAATCGTTAAGTAGTTTAAACTTTATATAGGGGCTTTAATCCTTAAACTATAAAATAATAATAAAAAGAACATCTTTGATCAACTGGTATGATTTCTTAGCTTCTATTTTATTTATCTAGGAATGGATATTGACATCTGCATTCTCACTATGCCCACTCGGGGTGGTTCAAAAAAAGTGTCCCTTATTACTTGCAGGAATTCTTTTATATTTTCACATGTTGTAGAGGAAGGTCTAAAATTTATGTTAGCACCATACATTTTTCTTGAAATTTGCAGAAATTATAAGCCCTAACCAAATATTACTGAAAATGGATAAAATGTGATTTTCAATATCCATGATTCTTCAACCCTTCAACACCCTTTCCCTGACATTTTTTAAGCTGCAGTCTTAAAGAGGCTCTATGCCATAGGATAGCGCAATCAAGACCCCTCTGGACTTTTTGCATATTGAGTTTCACCACATATATACCCATCTACTTACCAAAGAAGAAGTCCCAAATCCCCCTCTTTCAGTGTTAATTTTGCGATTGTGCTGGCCGATCTAATTATTTTCGAAGAAATTAATTCAATCTGAAGTTTGAATATTCTGGGAAAGTCCTCCTGTTATCTAATTGGTCGTTGAATTTGTTTATCATAAAGCTGTTTGGCTCCCTGGTTCAAGGCGCTTGTCTGAACCAATGGGGATTCCCCTCGATAGTCGAGGAATCCATTGTGTTTAATTCTGGAGTTTGGTTGTTCTGTTGATTATTTCCGATATTGCGGCAATAATATACCAAAAAGTAATTCTCAAGCTATATCCATGGTATGTGACATATATGAGCAATAACAATAGGACATCATTGATTGTCTGGGGGAGAAACCTATGGCATAATGCATCTTTAAAGAACTAATATTTTCTCACTTTGTTCAATCTTGAATCCCGCACATTATGGCTTAAAACTAGCATCCTACCTTAGTTTGTTTGTTGCAAAGTTCTTGTGATCCAAAGAAATGTTCTAAGCTTCCGTAGAAAATAACATTTTCAAGTGAAATTTCCTGTTGAGCGGTTAAAACTGCTTCAAAATGATCAATGAAAGTGTGAAATGTGTTTTCAGCTTAAATAGTGTCCCTTTTGTCATATGGTAGGGTTTTAAACTTTTATCTCAAACTGAAAGCTGTTTAAGATCATCCAATGTGTTTCAACAATTTCTGTGAATCACATTGGTAAAATTTTGCACAATATCTAATTTTCAGGCATGTTTGCTAAACTCTTGTAATTTCTTTAAAATTTAAGACTGAGATTAAATTATGGCATCAACCAAAAGGTCCATGTGCAATATGGCAAGTGATTTTAGGCAGTCATATCTTTCACCATGAGTACTTTCTGGCCATAAATACAATGGTTTTTATTAAAACAATATGTTTTCTTTCAAGCCAAGTCCCCATGAGAGTAGAATATAAATCCAACTCTCTGAAAATTATTGATTAGGGCCCCACCTTCGCACTTTTTAAAAAATGTTAGGCTTATTTTCTAAAAAGAGGATTTTGTTTTTCTCAATTTAAACATATCGAAAGTTTCTTCTGCACTATATTTACAACTTCTGAAAATGGGATGCGTTAAAGTTAAAAACCACATATCCCATGTTATTTTCCCATAGGGAAAACTCGTGCTGTCCATTGTATTCAGCATCATTTTGGTCATCGAAAATTGATATCTTCAAAACTAGACTTTCAATACCATTATATTTTTTAAGATGTTTTAGACCCCTTGTTAATTAATCTTTTCATGCAATAAAAATCAGCAAAAGGAGATCCTCTTTTGAGTAAATAGGTTCAATATTTTGAAAAAAATGTTGACATGGTGTCCCTATTCATAATTTTTCGAATTGTTTGATTGATATTTTTATCATCGTGGTTACTTCACTTGAAAGAAAACATATTGTTTTAATAAATACCATTGTATTTATGCCCAGAAAGTACTCACTTTTCTCTACAACATGTGATAATATGAGTCTATTCATGCAAGTATTAAGGATAGCCTGTTGCAGGGGTTCACCTTTTTTTGAACCACCCTGTATATGATTATTCACAACAGAACACTCAGAATAGTATCAACATACATTGCTGTATTTAGTATGTTCCTTTACAGAAATATTCATGGTAAGCATTTTATTGTACACTCCCAACATTGCAATGCAGGGGTTAGTTTCACAAAAAGTGAATTATTATAAAAATGATCATTATTATCATTTAAGTTAATCCTATGTTTTTGCATAACAGTAAGTATGTTTACTAAGTTGGAACAGATACTTTAGGCATGATTTGATTACAGTGATCTGATAACAGACAGCTCTGTATATGTGATCTGATAACTGATAGCTACTTTATGTGTGATCTGATAACAGGTAATACTATTTATATGATCTGATAGAAGACATATTGTATATGTGATCTGATAATAGACAGCTACTATGATCTGATAACAGACAGCTCTGTATATGTGATCTGATAACAGACAGCTACTATGATCTGATAACAGACAGCTCTGTATAAGTGATCTGATAATAGACAGCTACTATGACTGATAACAGACAGCTCTGTATATGTGATCTGATAATAGACAGGAACTATGATCTGATAACAGACAGCTCTGTATATGTGATCTGATAATAGACAGCTACTATGATCTGATAACAGACAGCTCTGTATATGTGATCTGATAATAGACAGGTACTATGATCTGATAATAGACAGCTGCTATGATCTGATAACAGACAGCTACTATGCTCTGATAACAGACAGCTCTGTATATGTTATCTGATAATAGACAGCTGCTATGATCTGATAACAGACAGCTCTGTATATGTGATCTGATAACAGACAGCTCTGTATATGTGATCTGATAACAGACAGTTACTATGATCTGATAATAGACAGCTGCTATGATCTGATAACAGACAGCTACTATGCTCTGATAACAGACAGCTCTGTATATGTGATCTGATAACAGACACCTATGTATATTTGATCTGATAACAGACACCTCTGTTTATGTGATCTGATTTTGTAATTGTGTAACAGATATCTATCAGTTATCAGTCCACTGCTACCCTAGAAACTCCACTTTCTGTTAAGGTTCAGCTGGAAAGTAACATTTTGGTAAAAAAATTGCTAGACCTGCACATGTTATTTTCTTGTACAAAATTAAGTATGAAGGCATGTGTGTATTTCCTTACTTTTTTTAGGAAAGTATCATTACATTGATTTCTTTTAGTAAACCTGGAAATACAATGGTAGCTCTTGTATTGTGTTGTCTGGAAACTTTGAAAGAAAATTTGGAAAAATAGAAAGTGTGAAATACTATCTATACTACTAATAGTATCAGAATTTCCTGGAGTTCCCATGTACCTCTTACCAGATATACTAAAAGAAGACAATGTAATGATACTTTCCTGAAAAAAGCAAGGAAATTAACACATGCCTTCATATTTTATAGTGTACCAGAAAATAACATGTGCAGGTATAGCAATTTTTTACCAAAATGTTATTTTCCAGCTGTACCTTAAAACACAATATTACTTCGTACATGTATACTTATGCATTGAGTACTGTGAGCCTCACTGACTTAAAATCAATACATAGTTGAACTCAAACAACAAGAGCAAGATACAGTAAAACCTATCTTAGAGAACACCTCTCTCTCTCTCTCTCTCTAGTGAACACCTGTCTCTAGTGAACAGTATTCCTCAACACATACTCTACTAATAGTCTATATAACTTCAGTATAAATTACCCTCTCTGCAGTGAACACCTACCAAATGTTTTTTCTTGGCAAATATATGTTCAATATATACAGGTTTTACTGTAAATGTCATCCATCTCAGCATCATTATCCCACCATACGAAGTTCAAGGGGGATATAGGAAAGCCATCCGTCTGTCCATCCGTCTGTCCATCCGTGTGTCCGAACAATAACTCAAATACCTGTTCACAGATTTAATTAAAATTTTATAGACTTATGCCTTATGGGTGTAGGACCTCTGTTTGAGAA